TTTTTGTGTTTAAATGCATACATGTGTACAGCGTGGTTCTTTATGCTAATGAATGATTGCGTGATTAAATAAAGCCAGGTTATTTGAACTAGACCCACAAATTCTCATTGGGATGTCTGCCAGTCTGCTAACGATCTTATGATGAAGTATACCATATATAATCTGCGATAAAATTCCATAGTTCGTAAGACAATTTACGAGTTGTTCTAATGAATGGTTATTTGTTGTTAGTATTTACACTTTGGTTCTAGTTATAAGAAGCCCTGTTCATTTAATAACCACCTTTGGAGAATTTTATAATTTTTCATGTACACAGTGATGGTTCTGGACATGGTTTATTTGCTCTAGACTTTAATTTATGATGAAACGCTTCCAACTCGAGGAATATTAATTATTGGATATATGAATATACATGGTGTAAAAGTTGCTTGCCCATGGCTCCCAAATCTGATATGAAGCCAATTCTTCTTGTTCATGTGGTTTTCTTAAAAATATAAGTTTATACTAGAATCAAATTGATTTAGTGCGTATCCCAATTTAACATGAACCAAACCTAAGGAAACTCTGATAATGTAGTTCGACAGATGCAAACGGATTCGGGCAGGGTTAATTGAAACCACAGGTTTTTGTACGATATCTCAAGTGCTCACCACACTGACTGCTTCCATGATCGATGTTTTCTTTCCTCCATCTTTTCGAGGAAGCTGCTGCTGGTGGATCCTTGAAGGGATGGACGTGATTAGATTACTTTGAAATTTTCATGGTGCAGCAGTTCTCATCTCATTAGTAGAATGCGTACCCTCTTGTAACAATTTAAAGTTACTTATTTTGTGGTAACCTGACATTAGCACCAAATCGTATAAGCATGTATTTGGCTGATTATTAAAAATGTTTCGATTCTGACAAACACCAGCCAAATTTTAAAGGTTGGTCAAAGTAACCCTTCACCTTTACAAGTAGTAATTTAGATAAATTTTTAATGCTACCCTGTACGCTCTGAGCGCTTATGTTCTGTATCATTTGATGTGCAGTGGTTGATCCAAAACCTTAAAATGATACGTTGTGAATTTACCATATAATTAAAGCTTCTTATAAAATGAGGCGTTCATTCCACCCAGGGTATTCCGACCTGGGTTTTAATGGGTTGGGTTTTATTGGGTTTTAATGGGTTTTAATGGGTTGTAAATGAATAAAACCCAGTGGGTTTTACCATGTTAAGTGGGTTTTATTTGGGTTTTAATGGGTTTTATTGGGTTTTAATTGAGTTTTACTTAAAAACTACATTCTAAAAGTTAAATACATCTCCTATACGTTAGAAGACGTTATCTCAATTCATTCTAAAGCAGTTTATTTCATTACTATTCTAATATATGAAAATTCGGAATAATTCAATAATTGACTCCATCCTTAAGCATCACAGATTTTAAGTGTTATAAAACAAAATAATTTCCGAATAGATACAAATTCCTAATTATTTTTGTTAAGTTATTACTTAAAACTAATAAAACCCTATAAAACCCATTTAAACCCAATAAAACCCATTAAAACCCATTAAAACCCAAATAAAACCCAATTAACATGGTAAAACCCATTAAAACCCATGGGTTTTATAATTTTTGATTAAAACCCTGGGTTTTTCCGAACCCTGATTCCACCAGTGCCCATATCCAGCCTGACAATTATATCTCGCAGCAGCAGCAGGTTCAAAATAGGAAGCTTCCTGCCTGCTACCTCATGACATGAAATATTCCGTGCAAGCTTTTGGGATAATGTTTCTTGGAGAGGAGATTAAACACGCGGTATCGCTGCTTAGAACAACTTCCAATAAAGAGTGTAGAATTAAATCGGATCAAATTGTGTGCACCCAGATTCACCTTCAACCAGAAATAAATAAAGCCTAATTCTAAATTATTATTTATTATGGTAGTAATAGCTCTGACCCAAATTTAGACCCAAAAGTAATTTATGAAGGTAGCACGATGGCAAGGAGGCAACTGAAATTTTCCGGGGGCAAAATTGATCAGATACGCGTAAATTTCGTGTTGTTTTGTCCCATGTTAAGGTTTTCCTCAGCACAGAGTACCATCGAATCTCTGCATCGTATGTATGTATGCATAATCTCTCTTGTGAGTAATCAGATCAACCTAAATTGCAGAAATGCAAGTAAATTGCATAGCTATCGGCAATTGGTTCCCTATTTATTTCATTGATTGGATTTGATTGATTTTAGTTTTCATAAATAGCATGCTTTTTCAAGTACGAAAACGTTTGAATTTTTAAGATTTTTAGCTAGCGAGCTAGAAGAAGTAAGGCAGCAGACACTTAGAATCAGGTATAGGATCAGACCCCTCTAATTATTGATTTATGAGATACAGTAACAAGTTGGACAATGAATCTTGTTTTTGAATTTTACTATTGGAAACCGACATTGAATTATAGCCGAGATGGCAGAGAATTGTAACCTAACTCAACAAATTGATAATCGGTTTTGCCATCGTGAAGAAATCAACAATAAATAAGAAATACATAAAACTAGTTTCATAAACAAATGAGAGTTGGTAACAAGCAATCAATTTCATCACTATTCATTTCAATTCAATCAAATCATCTTCGTACTTGATTCTGTCCATATCTTGCACCACCAACCAGTTAGTACATGTAGAAACCACGCCAAAATAAGTCGAAAAATAAGTGCATCATTATTCATTTACCAGGTATTTCAATTACCGTTAAGTTTTATTTTTATTTTTTATTATGATTGTGGACAGTTCAAGTTGGTTGAACAAGTACATTCAGTGTGGTATGCAGTGTAAAATAAAATAAAACCTGCCCCATTGACAATTGCAGAGTAATAAAAAAATACATGGTCTATGGTTTCCATTATTTTACAGTTGCTTACTTGGGAAACTGTTACAGAAAATACTAAAATTACTAGATTAGAGCTTCAATATATTGACCATTTGAATCCTCTCATCCTCAGTTCTCAAACATGTTTCTTTAAGACTTGCTTCTGATTCTGCTGCATGTATTTAGTTGCATAATGTCTCTTAACTTCCCACTCACTTTCCAAGTAATAAATACTGTATCCAGATATATAAAACTTGTATGGCTTGACGAAATGATTATTAAATGACATCAACACCAGTTTATGTCTCTGTTTCTGGTCTAACTAATAATGTTTCTTCTTAAAAATGACTCAGAATCTATCGCCACAATCATCTGGTGCAGAGACCAGTTAATGCCAGTACATGGCCATAGTATAATTAACGTAGTATTCTTTTATTTTATTGTTCTTGGTCCAGGTTGAGGGATCTTTCCTTTAAATCTTGAAGGAGTCACATAAAACACAATAAAAAACTCCTCCAGTTGTTTCTTGCTTACTGCGAGTCTCACTAATGAGAGCGAGCTTCCAGTTCCAAATCTCCATTTGAAGAATATCATTATCATCCTGGGACTTGTCTCTACTTTTTTTGGAAGGGTGCTGCTATGGATGTATTTATGTGGACGTATATTTCAATCCTTCCACTCTTATTATTTTGAAACGAAACCGAATCTGTTCAGACCCATATGTGTACCGAGGTGCATGTGTATTTCTACATGTGTGATGAGAATACTTCATTGTTACAATTGTGGGAAGGGATCCCTGCGGCAATTTCTTTGAGAAATCAGAATCAAACGAGGACTTTCTTACATAGCGACAAAAAACTTTTAGGTTCATACATAAATGTTATAAGAATAAAATGTACGTGTGTATGATGCATATTTTATATGAGCTGGCTATTTTTTGTTGAAGGAACTGCCAGGTTTCAGAATTCAAGGGTTTCAGCGAGATAACAAAAACGAGTGAATTTATTTCACAAGGAGATTTATTCATCCGCTTGTTTCTTCATTACGTTTCATACACATTATTGATAAGCCAGAATTCCTCTCTTTTAGTGCACTCATTAATTCCTTCGTTTTCAATTTTTCCATGTTATGCTCATTAGATTAGATTTGGTTAGTTCCAGTTCCAGCTTTAATTTCATATTTAGAAAGCCAGATGACATAGCTCGTATGAAGCATAATGGATCGTCTTAAGTTGTCTTTTTAATTTAATCGTAATTTCCTGTTCTTGGGAGACATGTAGCTAATAGCTTACTTGTAAGGAAGGAGCTGTGTTAGATTTGAGGGCTATTTCGACGGTGAACCTTATTTTTTGTAGTTTGTCATCACTCTTATCTATCGTTCAACCCCAAGAAACCAAGGATTGATGATAGACGTCAAGTGAAACTTTGGTAAAAACTCGTGCATCTAAATCTATCCACCTCCTCCTTCTCATAATTGATTTCTCTTTCCCGTGGCCAGGCTTAATTTAATATCTGAGAATGTCTAATGTTCACAAGAGTTAATCTACCAGCCGAGATGGACATGGATGGAGTTGAATTGGTGAAAAATGATAAAAGTCGTACACTCGAACCACCAAATGTTGTTTTGACGAGCAAGTTACAAAGTGAAACGGAGGAAAATTTAACCTTTCTAAATGTGACGTTAAAAATGGGTTGCAAACATGCAATCCACATAATTGATATGTTCCGACATACGTTAAATTTAGAAGAATGGAGTGCGGTAGTGTAGCTTATAATTCATCAAAGAAAGATAAATGCATGCATTGTAGTTGTCTCTTAAAAATACTCATATTCAACTAAAAACTTTGTAATTTAGCCTTAGAAAAATAATTAGCTCGCATCAAGTATTTCATAACAAGTGAGTGAGTACTTATGCATGTATCTGAAATTGAAAACTTAAAAAATTCATATGATTGTGCTGTAAAAATAGCAGGTTTCACATCAAAATTAGGGATACACATTTATGTATTTTAGCTTTTCCTACCGATATATGTGCACATATGTATGTACATGCATCAGCTTCTTCTTTTCCTTATGCCTCTTTATTATATAACATCCAATGATCATTGAAATACTTGTAAGCATAATATTAAGTAATTTTTTGTGTCTTTGCAGCTCGTTTAATGGTTCGAGATTGGGTAAAGCTGCGTTATGGCGTGTTCGATGAAAATGGCTTTGCACACGACGAAAAATACCCTGCAGAGTTTGTCGGATCGAAAGGAAAACCTGTTCAAGCGACCGAGTGTCGTCTTAATCGGTAAGAATTTAGCTACTAAATTCCCTTGTAAATAATCTAACTGTTAGTAACGAATGCATAATATTTCTTTGTGGCGAACACGACACTATATTCGCATCAACACCATTTGAATTCAATTGCTCATAATACAGTGGATAGGTAATATTATGCATATCTACTTAAAACCACTAGGGTTCCAAAATTATTCGCGTTTTTCCAGCCTTGTTCCATTAGTTCAAAACTCACGACAAAATAATAATAGTTCTTGTTTTTACAATTGCAGTAGTTTTAAAACCGAAATCATAATACATAAATTTGTACGTATACGGTTGAAATTGTGCAATTTCTGCTGTAAAGCCGTTGCCTCACTTGTAGACTTAAAGTGGCAGCCACATACATTAATTTGTCTTTATGTTTTAATTTAATTAACAACTTTACTGAGTATCGGGTTGATTTGTGATCTCCGATTCCGGGGTACACATGTGTACATGCGCACAGTTAAATACATGCACTAAAACTTAATTGCATTCGAATCTTAGAAATCCCGACAAACTTGATTTATTTTATTATACATTTTATGACACTCTAGATCAACCGCTGCATGTGGAGAAGCAGGAGAGAAATGTGACCAGAATCTAAAGCACCCCAAAGGAAAATCGCTAATGTCATTGCCTTTGGACTCCAATAGTGTAAGTTGGGATCATTATTTATTTATTTTCTTGTTTTACAATAAATGCTGTTTAAATTTGACACGTTCTTGCATTTTCCGCAACTTTTTTTAATGATTTCGGGTCTGTTAGCGAAGATACAGTAATTAATATACATTTTCTGAATTGGTGAGCAAATCGTGTTTTGCTTGTTCCACTGCCATTTTGTGATTTTGAATTCGGATTAAATTACTTTTATTGAAACCTGAGAAGAATGTATAATCATTCGCAGATATGGTAAGGCCAAAACGATAAAAAATATACCGTTGGCTCATCTGAGAGAGAAAAGCAAAGCCTGCTGCGCGTTATCGATAAATTCTCTATTCGTACAAAACCCTTGGGCAGAAATCCTCCTTCTTCATGCAGATGTAATTTATTGAAATCCTGGAGATTCATGGTGCGCGAGAAATTATAACATTCAAACCACATCACGCAATACTAAAGATTATGTTGCAAATGTCGTCTTATCTTCTTTTTACGTATCTCTACATATGTACCGAACATAACTTTGTTCATACTTTTTTGGCTTTATTGCATTGAGACTGATTTTTCGTTTCTTTAAAAGGTGGACGAATTTTGTGACGTTACAACTCACGTCCGGACAACGCCTACAAAGCACAATTTCTTATGCAACGGACTCAGCGTTTGGGAAGTGATGGCACAGCATGAAGACTTTAGTGAAATGTAAGTTGCATCAGAAATTATGACATATCAAATTCTTTCAACAAAGAAAAAATGTTTTTCACTGAACAACACTGAAATATTTTCCAGCTCTCCAACCAAGTTTATACCTTTTTTGCAATTACGTACTTATGCATACGCTTAATAATAAGCTTATTGGTTGAGTAGGACTGTCTGATTGATATTGATTTTATTACCAACAAATCTTCAAAAGGCGTGTGCAATCCTGTTTTCAGATCATTTAACTCAGCCCAGCATTCATTTTTACTTTTAACACGTTTTTTTCATGAATGTAACTACATAAAAAACTTGCTCATAGAGTTGAATACTTTTCTAGAATTTATTTATCTATTGAAATCCACCACTGTTACATTGGCAAAGGAGATAATTTATTGTGACCATAAATTGTCTTAAATTAAACCTTACCCTATATTAGGAATACTCTGAAGCAACAGCAGCAGAATCAGAACGGAGGATCGTCATCGGCACCCCTTGATAAGGGGCATAATCATTATGAGACTTCCACAATGGCCAGTTCCACCCCGATGACCATAGCAGCTCCTGCTCCAATATTTTCCTATGTAACTGCCAAATCACACCGAATGATCTTTTTGTTGGATCGAAGTCCAGAAATGAACAGAACGGTAAGTGCAACGTTCTGGAATTTATGATACGGATAGCAATGAACTTGGGCATAAATTAAAGTCACTCCCCGAAAGTCCTCCTCTCCCACAGGCTACAATAAATCCCATTGTTTATCATTACTCATGCATGTAAAAACATAACTCATGAAAATGGTGTCTGATTGTGAATTTGCTAATTTTTACATTGCAGAACCGATGGAACAATTTGAGAAGGTAAGAAGCGAATACAACTATTTATGTGCGAATACAATTTCGCACATAAATATATACATGAAGCTACTTAATTAAGTATAATAAAAAAACTTGACTATCTATTTTAAAATTTACATTTGGTTTGTCCTACTTAAAAAGGTCTTTGTATGGAATGTTTCATCATTTACCGTCGGGGGTCGAACTAGGAGTCATTTCTTATTCGAACAACTCTACCATCAGCGTGCCACTGACAGTTGCAAGGTAAAGATTTCTGCATTACGATTATGGGAGATTTGTAGTGAAACACATTGAAAAATTATACTAAAAAAAATGGATACGTTTATTATGAATCAATATTCGTTTTTCAGTACCCACAATCGGGATGCATTATACGGAAGGATTCCATTTAGACCACTTAACACTGAATCAGAAGAGTCGTGTATTTCGTGTGCAATAAGTGCTGCCCGAAAGGTGGGTACCCTATTAATATAAAAATATGCAATAATATATATGCAAATTAAGTCCTCAAGTCCTACTCAGAACTACAAATAATCTACACAAACAGCAGCACAATACAATAATGTAAATGTAAAAATTCCAAGATAACATTGACGAGTACATACATGCCTAGTTGCCTGACGAATACACAGTATGAGCAAACAAGTAGAGATAAAAAATGACCAGTAGTTTTTCTATTTGGGCATTTATAAAATCAAATTTAAATGATACTTCGCTAGAGTAAATGATTTTCGGCCTCTGTCAAAATATTTGTACTTCATTATTACGTGATCTATACAGGTAAACTTTTTCTAGATTACTTACAGCATGAAAACAATCTTTCTCATTTTATTTTTTGAGTTTCATGGGTTTGTTTGTTTTCACATGAGGTCTAAAGATAGTCAAAATTGAGATAATGCTACGAACAAATTGAGGGAAAGATTCATAACTGCCGACGTAATTAAACAAAGAGAAATAATGGTTGATGAATCCATTGTTTAATAAATTGCAGTTGATCAAAGCGTCTGTGGAGAGCACGGGCCCCACAACATTGGTGCTGGTAAGCGGATCATCATCAAAAATTTTCCACCGTGAATGGGAAAAAATTAAGAAACTCGTCGACAACACACCTCTGCACGTTATTGTCATAACTTACGCAAACATGAACGAATCCTTGGGAGGTCAAGAGCTGATCAAATTGTCTCAGTATGGTGGCTTCTATAAAGTTCCGGACAGCAACAACGATGTAGAGCAGAGAGAAATCCTATCCAACATCTTTTTAGGAATTCTCAACGAAAATGTTGGTACACCGTTGAATAAGGTGATAATTTCAGACTTAAAGACTTTTAAAGAAAATATTTAATTTAATTATCACATTCCTCTCAAATCGAATGCATACATATTATGATTAATAATGAAACTGAATTATTGCAGGTCTACGGTGCTGTTCATTGGCCTGTAAGTAAAAATCCAGATTTTATCAATTATGCCTAACACAATTGTCGTAAACAGCATAAATACATTCTACGCGATAATAAATAATTTCACTAATAACATTACCTGCCTGTAAAGGATGACGATTGGCAAGCCCGAGGAAAGTTCACGATTGAAGACAGCCTGGGACGCAACACTTGGGTGATGGTGACCACGGAAGAAAATGGCGATGTTGATGGATTGCAATTGATCAGCCCCACAGGCAGGGAATTTGACTTCCCTGGTAAATACTCAATTTTTAATTAAACACATTAAAACAAATCAAAAATTTAAAAAATGGAAAAAGGTCGACACAATCCAATTTATAAAAAGTTTAGATTTACATATTGGTTTCGTCTCATAAATACCTCAGATAAAATCTAGTTTATATTTTATCCAAATATAATCAACTTCATAAGTACTAATAATTTCACAATTTCAACTTTCACCCAAAATAGAGTTACAGTTTCAAAATAGTGTTTTACAATTATAATCTTAATTGAGTAAAACTTATGATTTGCTTTACAGCTATATTGTAATTAAACATAATCTACATATTCCATTGAAATTCAACGACTGAAAACAAAATTTCAATGATTATAAAATTTTCTATAATTACAGGTCATGCTGAAGGACTAGTCTACCTTCGAATTCCAGGTTTGACAGAGGTACGAATATGTATTGATTATATTTATTTGTAATATATTTATGTATGTGACGCCTAAATTTCATATTGCTTTTCTCTGTCTCATAATTTTCTTGTTATTGTATTTTAAAAAATACATTTCTTATCCTTCAACCAACCGAACCGGTAACGATTTTTTGTTGCTTGTTGGCAGCAGGCAATAATTATTATTTTTCCGTCATGTTTAATGTACCAATTATCATGTAGGTTCTATTTTTAGCAAAGTAGTTGGCAAGTCATCATAAACAGTTGGTCTCGTGTACCTTCGCATGGTGGTCAAGTTGTACACTGATTCTTAATGTTGCATTGTTGTTCGGTCGTACATTCGTGGGCATGTTATTGTACTGTTAATTTGTGATGGGCCCTCCAAACAATTACTTTTTCAGTTTTACGGTTGGCTTGGGTTGTTGGATTCATCATTAACTGTCGCTCTTGGTCATACTTTTATTCCTTCATTATAGTTTGTGCATACCACAGCAGAAATTGTTATGTCAGGTTCTATGATGTAGATAATACCTTAATTCCCTGTTGTCTGTCTACATACCAATATATACGAGTATCTTCCTACTCCTTAGTTATTCACGCTAGTTTAATTGAACATTTGAAAATTTGAACAGGCTGGAATCTGGACATACGTCGTAAAGTTTTACCAAAACCAATTCCCCAGACAGATAAGCGTGGATGTCATAACTGAGTCGCGTAAGACGGAGTCTATCTCTGTCAAATTCTGGAATAAAGTCATAAAACAGGAAATGCAACAAGCTGTCGACACCAACGTTGCTGTCAGCTCAGCTTCAACTTCTGCCGAGGTGGTCCTTCTCTATACACAAGTGCAGGTTAGCTAGTCAGTAATTGCTATGAAAAATGGAGAATTATGAATTATTATTTTGCTAATACCACCATCTTTTCTTAAACCTGAAAAAATTTTAGCAAGGAGAGCTACCCGTGTTGAATGCCAATGTGGTAAGTTAATATTGACCCATACTGGTTTTTATAATTGGTCGAAAAAAGCTGAAAATTTGCATGTTGGATTATGGACAAAATTTAAAAACCGTGTAAAATTAACACAACTTTTTGAAAATCTAGACTGCCATAATAACCCTGCCAGGGACAACGCAACAACATGGTCCTAATACTATTAGTGTTCGACTGTTGGACACAGGAAGTTCTGGTAAGAAAGAAAGTCGCACTAATAAATCTGGCTGAACCCTCTTTCCTCATATCCAAAAGCCGAACAATGAACGAAGCCGAGTTCAACAACGGCGCACTAATACTTTAATATCCCAGCTCCTTTTGTTGGAAAGATTACCAACCATTTTATGTTCTCTAGTAAAAAAAGTAATTTATTCTTCTCCTCTAATTCCCAAATTTCTTAATTTGATTTTCTACTCGCTGCGTCCCATATATGTCCGTATGCAAGGGTGTATGGGTGCGTGAAGTGAGGTCTTTTAGTGAATAGATGCTTGCTAATCTTGCTTCCTTAGTGAAAGATTCTTTGAACATTACATTATGGTTTTTATGTACACCTTGCAGATCCAGACTTGACATGGGGCGATGGAATTTATTCGGTAAGAGATTGAAAGATTCGGTATATGTATAGGTGCATATATTTTGTATTATCCACTAATCCAGATTAACTTATTTTGTGTTGCAGGCTTATTTCACTCAATTGGGACCAATTCCTGGATTTTTTAGTGTTAGTATCCAGATTTCAGATAATAACGGTCAAGCTGTTGTTCCCGTCCATACGAATATCTCACGTGGGAATTATGGTAAGGAAGACCCAATATTCATTTAGTTGCATAAATACGTCTATCTTTAGATTTGTCTAATTAATGCTTTATTTATCTTTTCATAGATAAACCAACGTGTTGTGGGAGCAGTGTCCCTCATATTGCGACTATTCCCACTGGTTCATTTTCAAGAACAATTGCTGGATCATCTTTCTTTGTGAGCCAAGGAGTCCCCATGGACGCACAAGGCGTTCCACTGGACCCATATCCACCAGGTAAGAACCATTGAGTTCATCATTACGAGCGATAGTCATTCTACTAACCCCAATAATCTCTATACTACAATGATGCTGTTTGCGATGATATTCATAGGAAATATTTATTATATAATTACATATGTTTACTTTCAGGGCGAATCACTGATCTCCGTGTCGAAAAGCAAATTGACTCAACATCCGAAGTTAAGCTTAGCTGGACATCGCCAGGAGGTGATTATGATAAAGGAAAAGGTGCGTTAAATAATAATACGATGCATATCTGTATACTTGACAAAGCTCACTTTTTCTAATTCTAATCAACAAAATGTATTTTTTTAATTGTAGCATTCCGATACGAGATTCGCTGGTAAGCTAACATACATAGATTTACTTTAGTAGCTAATCAAGCTAGATACACATAAGACAGATGAGAAACCTAAATAACTTATAATATTTTTTATATTTTCAGCTACACTTCTCGTGATGCTTTGACCAACGAGAATTTTAGAACTCAGGGTATTCAAGTACACAGCTCACTCACACCAACACCTGAACTCCATGGGATTCGTCAAAGTTGCACTGTTTCTGTCCCCTGGGCCAACGAATACTTTTACTACGGAATCGTAGCTGTCGACAACCAGAACAGAGGAAAAGTGTCCAATTTGGTAGCCGTTCTGATTAAAGAAACTCCCATGTCCACTACAAAATTGTCTGAAGCTTGGGAAGACGATGCACGTGTTGGGTAAGTTAGATTCACATCAAAAAATCTTTAATATAAGATGCATGTGTATGTAGCTGTCATTGTGGTCAAGTACTAATTATTTAAATTTGCCAATTTTGCAGAAACTTGACATCTTCAAGGTCTGCTAATAAGGATGACAACATGTTCAATGCTGGGGCCAACTGGTTCAGAGGCCTGAGTGAAATTGAACTCTATTTTATCCTCGCCGGCGGAGCTGCGTTCCTCATCCTCATATCCATTTTTATCATTGGTCTCGTCTGTCTTAAGAGAAGAAAGAGCAAGTCGGGCGAAGCACCTCCAGCTTATCATAATATTTACAATCAAGGACATGCCAAAAATCAATCCGGGCCCCAACCCCCCAAAGATCCCATTAGTTGTTGTTGGGAAAATGACAGCAATTCTACAGAACCTAAGCATATTACAGTGGCTCCACAAAAAATAAACGGGCTGTCATCTCCCTATATCACGGAAACCAAGAGCTACATTCCTGCCTCAGCCTTGTGTGCCCCAATTCAAAATGGATCCATTTATCGAGACATGGTTTACGCCGGATCTGGTTCAGCTCAGCATATGCACACCCACGACTCCAGTTCCGTCGACTCCTCCAAGCCTTCCGAGGGGGGAAGCAATGAAACGGTTCACGTGTCAACCGATGGTCACCACACGCCGGCTTTGTTCTACACGCCGACCCACGTACCTCCCCCTCAAAGGGGATTGAGCAACATGAACATGAATCTCAGCTTCGAAGGTGAGCATAACCTTCACAATCAAAGTCATAACAATCTCAGCAGAGACCCGCTGCCGACGAGAGTGGGCGAATTTCTCCATCCATCAGATGATGACGAAGGAGGTTTCAAGTCCCAAAGGAGAAACCTGGATGGATTTCACAAAATTGTGCCCATGCCAAGTAGTGAGTACGACAGTCCGTCCATTATGAACGGAAGTACGTACGGAGGTTCGGTAATGTCAATACCCAGTAGCAATAAGAAAAGAACGAGACATATTTCCTTCGTATAATAGATTTTGAAAATTTTAATACATTTTTTTCGAAAATCATCATTAATTAATATTATTTTTGTACCGTCGACTTTAATAATTAATCAAATCAGTCATGCAATCAATTTTGGTATACATAATTAAGTATATACACTTGTGTACAACATATTGTTTATCTAATTATATAAATGTTATCAAGTCTGTGAATCTGTAAATAACTTTGTATATACAGTTGTACACTGCGCCAAATATTAACGCCAATTTTGTACCATGCTACAAATCTCCTCCACATTGTTATCAAGCACTATGCATTTTGTATTGTTTTTCCAGTTTATTTTTTTAGACAAAGGTTCAATTTTATCTGTTAAACGACTCTTTATTTGTATCTTTACTTTTTTACATAGTTATTTTGAGAACCATTTATTTATTTTATTGCTGATGATGACAATGACAATGTGATCATTATTATATGTATACTAAATATGCATTTGTATGTTCACCTTCTTTTCAGTGTATAATTAATCCATTTTTCTGATTTTATTAAGTACTGCATTGCCGCATGTTGTGTTCTTCTTCATTTACCTGTTTCTACACATACATAATTTATAACTCAATATGTTCGTATGTATTATTTAGTTGGACGTTTCGTAATTTTAGAACGATATTTTTAATTATGAGCTCATTTTAGTAATAGATAGAAATTAGAATAACATTTTTGTACTTTAATAAAAACTTCATTTTAATCAATTAGACATTGTGTCAGTTTTATAATTTTGGAATAAAAACATGTTAACAAATCTTTGTGTATAGTTGAAAATTTATTTAAGCATGCTCAGATTACAAATTTTCAAACTCACGACCGAGATACAATTGAATGATGTTCATATTTATGTAAATCATGACCTGTTACTCATTGGCCAAATTAATTCAGTTGAGATTATGCAAAATTTTATTTTCACCGAAGCAAATCATCGCCAAGGATGCCTTTTACTGCTTCAGGTGGTTTTACTGGAACAATGCTATCTAATTTAGATTTTTCAATTTCGTATGTTCTTTTGCGAGAGGTGAACTGATCTTTCCATTCTGCATTGGTGAGATGGGGTTTATTGAACTTTGACTCAGAATACTCGTAATTTTCAGGGGCTTCTGTCATCCCAGGTTTCAGAAAATATCCTTCTGGATAATCTGCGAAATCATCTTCGACTTCAGTAGAATTTGGTGGTGTTGCGGTTGCCCCTGAACCTGAATTCCCCCATGGATCCGATTTTGGTTTGGAATTTTTGGGCTTGGGTTTATGCCTTCTGCGTGGTTTATTCGCAATTCTCTTGGAACGATGATGGGTGAGACCAGTGTCGTCTGACAATGTGTCTGAAATTAGATTAGGCTTGTTTTTAATAAACCCGTTTCTAGCACAATTTGGTAATCCAAAAAGATTGGAAAGGTCGAAAGAATACCTGAGGCATCGGGGAGAAGCACCAACCAAATACACAAGATCAGTAAATACTTTATGATGATCATTTGCAGATACTATTTTTGTCTTTTTAAATTAGCGTTTTAAAAAATATTTCTTTTCGAATCAGTTCAAACGAGTTTGTAGTTCTTGAAATCACTTGCTGTACTTGTAAAAATACTTTTGGTCATAGTATTTCTAAGAACAATGGATAGTTTAATTGAATGTCAGCTTTTGTTTGCAGTATTATTGTCTGAATAGCTTTTTCGAAGATATTTAAAGGACATTTAATTGCTGCTGTATATTATTGTTCAACATTTCTGTCTTTTTATTGCTACAATGTCGTCAAGTAGTTTTTGTTTGCTTCTTATACTCTAAGAAGCCAAATGGGGCGAATAAATCTACGTACTTTGGTCTTTCCACCACTTTTACCTCTTGAGAAGCATTGCGAATTTAAGTATGACGGCAATCTTCTGGCGATAGCCCGACCTAATCTCCCTTATTTAGACAAACCCAGAGGGGTGTCCGACCTTTGACAAATTTTCATGACCTTCTGGCATTTGTATAGAATCATATAGGGTACATACATACATATGTAGTCAAGGCCCAAAAGTACATTGTAGGTTCCGTTCAGGATAAGGGTTTTGCACTTGGTGGGTTGCTTGGGATTAATTTGATGCTACTCTATTAACATTAATTAATCCCCAAATATAAATTTGGGTGGTTGCGTTCAGGTCAATTGATTAAGTAACAAATATGTTGGGAGAGTATTAGGCTGGCCAAAGATGATCGTCAGAAGATTGTCGGCATAAATGGAGCTTCCACCTTGAGGTATTACTCCATATGGCACTTGTACGCGTATCCTATTGTTGCTACTGTCCCATGTCATGATCCTCAAATTCAAGTTTCTCCTATGAATTTCTTTTTTAAGTGTCCATGCAACACCGTTAACACTAACGCGAACTTGTATCAGTCCTTTGTCATGTAACAATTTGGACTTGAATTGGAGTCCGTCTGAAGAAATTTCATACCCTTCAACTGTGTCCTTCGTTTTCCAGTCTTGGGTTTTCCTTGTTATTTATTAAATTAACACATTAATCTATATCCTTCTAGCTTAGACAATATTTATATTTGAGGTTAAAATACGTGTGAATGTACCCATAGTCAAAATCGTCATCTTCGATGGTTATCGAGTGAGTAACGTTAGGTGTAATTGATGCCAGGTATGTCGCTGGATTTAGAAGCGTCGTATTAGCACTTATGTTGTTGATCCTTGTGGTTAAGTTATGAATTGCGGAATGAAGTACTGCATACGAGAAATCATCTTCTTCATCCTCTTCACTCGAATCTTCATCGTCTTCATTTGGAGATGCAATGCTTAAAAACACGGAAAAAAATAGAGAAACACTCAGTAAAGTTAAGTAGAATCTTTGATTTTTAAAATAAATGCTCATTTTTAACTTTTGCGATGTGTATTATGTATACTTTGGGTTACTACGTTGGACGTTGATTGCGACTAGACGTTAGTGTCGAAAACTGACGACGACTTTAGCGAATAATAAATATTTACAAGCAAGAAAGTTGTTTTTCTTCACTTCGATTTATGTATGGTTGACCAACCACTTTTTTTTGTGAAATGTGACATAAAATTCTTTGACATACGGCATTACTGTTTGACATTTCTTTCCTAAATATTTATACTGAAGTATACACACTTATACGCTTGCTCACACAATTGAAGGGAAATGAATAATTAATTGTATGAAGTTGTGTACTCAATTTTTTTTCACTAATTTCAAATACATTTATTTGCAGGCTCTTACAATTATGTAGCTAGTTCCAATTCAGCGGATGCATTAATGCAACGATTTCATAACAATCGTAAAATAAATACATGGATTCACGATAAACATGTCTGAGTGACACGTAAATCAAAGTATTTTTAGTCAATTTTTCTTATTTTCAAAATAAAAATGTAATTCATCTGATTTATAATATCAATTGTCTACTACATCATGACTTCAATATTGCTGGTGTCACTGGTCTTGAATAATGAACATTTGTCTTAATGAAATCTTGGAATTTAAGCTGGCCAAGCTCTGCCAATTCTTGTTGCCGATCGTATTCAGCAGATTCGCATATTGAGAAGAATTTGCCAAAAATTATTTTCCAGCTGGATCTTCGGTCTTCAATTTGCAGCCTTTCATAAGACAGTTCATATTTTCAATATTAGTAACATATTTCGTTTACACATGCCTAAATATTTTAGATTTTCTACCCACTTGATTATGTTGAACAGTTTCAGCATAAAACAAACAGAGGTAATCTGTAATAATTTGCGCAAACTTATAGAATGTTATTGCATAATCCTGGATAATTTGCAACATCCCTTTGATACGCCTTACTAAGAGGATTAATTGAACAAATGCAACGATTGCCATAATTCCAGCTAGGACGAGATTGAAATGTGTGGCCTTAGTTAGGCAACCATCGGAGAATAATGTGTTGCTTGCTTCAGAATTTAGACAATCACTCTAAAGTTGTAAATGCAAAATTGTCTGTAATTACTGTCTAAGTTTTTAACATAGAAAATGAGTATGTACATTTAGATAGTATGTGTGTACTTACATCTGCACAACAAGACCTTGGGTATACTCCTGAATATGTAATCCATTCTTGACTTGAGTGTATTCCACAACAGGCTAACTATAATTTTAGCAAAAAGATTGTCTACTACATAACTAAACTTTAATATAATTCGGATAATACTGGTTCTACATATTTACAAAATTATGTAATTTATCCAGGACACGCCTCGAGTCCTTGTACGTATGATAACTTTGCATTTTGTGAGTCAGATAGTGTTCCATTAATTTTGAAACGTTCATCAAGTGTTGAAGAGACGATGCGAGAAATCCAACAGGAAAAATAAGAGTAAATGGAATCCTCAAAAAGTACTGAAATGATACGACAAATAATGAATGGGAATTGCTTTGTCCCATCAAAGAATCGACTTACGGGTCGGACATGATTCAATTTTGATAGAGCGACTAATCCGTAGATTCCAACCACGGAGGAGTGCATGATCGCCCCAAGAAAGAAAATAAACTTCAGTGCATTCTGGAAGAAATGTTCTCTCAGAAAGTCAAATACTGCAGCGTTTATGGCCAGTACCAAAATAAAAACTACTAAAATCATTCCTGAAACCTGTCGACAATATTTTTCATAATTTCATTTACTCTGATGAACAATGTATATCAAATTAATTTGGTGTAAAAAATTGTACCACAAGGAGCCTCAGAATGCTCTTTAAGCATGTCACACAAACATCCAAATTTCGCGAATCATTCAATGATTCTCTGATTTCATTCAGCCCAATGTCAAATGCATCCCGTCGTGGAAGATAGTTCAAACCTTGTCGTTCACACAAATTTCTGTCCACCGCAAGAATATCTTCCATCGACATAGCGTCCCTGTCATTGGTCGTTCTGTTATTATTGTCATGTTCAGCCCTTGCACCCGATTTTAATACTGATTTTAACTGAAATAGTGGTTTTTGATCCAAATATGGCTCAAATGCATTTCCTACTCGTTTTTCCACGTGCAAGTTTTCTTGTTGTGGAAATTTCAAGATTGATGATTCACAGAATGCTGTGTGCATGTTTTCTTTGTTGTCAAGAGGTATGGGTGCATATGGTCTCTTGTCCGACATGTGGACGACATGTGAATCCGTATTGTATTTTGGAAGTTTCTGCTTGTACTTCTTGGAGTTCAGCTCGAGATGGTTTGAAGATATGACGTTGGGGTCACGAAATAAATGCTTCGAAAACTTTCGTGCAGCGAACTCTACTTGAGGCCGTGTGAGTACTTCCAGTGCTGATTTCTGTGCCTCGAATTTATTCTGCTCATTTGTTTGACCGTGAGGAGAAAATTCTGAGAACTTTTGAATTGAAGCAAATAGAATAATGCATGTATTTCTCATACTTTGTGCTGAAATTAGGATGCTTACTTTATTCCTTCGTTTAGATGCTATACTTTTTGTTAAAATGAACTGAAGTTCCCTCCCATAATTTTGGCTTTTGTAAGGCTTCATGATAATCCTTATTGTTTTGTTATTTAAATTAATAGATTGAAAAACAAATGGGCAATACATTACATGTAATCATGCCAAGTTGCTAATTCACTAATGATATGATTGGAATCTTAACGATAGTCCTAACCCAACCATGTCAAGATTATTTGACACTTTATCAATCTATAAGGTTACGACAAATGGCCGAGTTACAAAATAAATTTTCATTTTTAGAAAACTAAAAATTGTTGAAAATGTCATTGGTTACAGTTGGAAATGTAATTTTCAGTCAAAGTGCTTATGGAACCGTCATGTCCGTCCGTCTGTCCGTTCGATCATTTTACGATAACTTTCGTTAAACTCGTCCTAGCGACTTTAAATTTGGTATGTGTAGTATGTGGCAAATGAGGAGTTAAATTTGAAGATGGGCGAAATCGATTAAGTGGTTGACCGGTGGTGGTCATCTGGGTGGGTGGAGTATTTCAAAATCTGAAAATTGGCATTGAGATTGCTAATGGTGTCTAATTGAAGAATATGAATTTAAATTGGGAAAATTTTCGACTGGAGGGACCCGATACCATACCGATTGTTGAAAATTATCCAATCGAGCTGAAATTAGTGCAGAGATTGCTAATGGTCCCTGATGAAAAAATATGAATTAAAACATTTTTATGTGGAGGGACCTTTAAGGGGTGACCCATATCGATTTTTAAAAATTGTATTAAAAAGATGAAATTCGCTCCAGACACTCGTAGAAGACTGAAATTTGGCATGACCCTGCGGGGGTAGACCAGATTGAAAAATATGAAGTAAATATTAAGATTTTTTCCACAGAGATTTAACAAGGTGACCCACATTGCTTTTTATATTGGTAGAATAAAAATGAAATTCTGTATCATAGGTAAGGGCACATCAGACTAAAGAATATGAAAATGAATATTTTTGTGGGCCCAGCCCAGAAAAGTCTCAGAAGTCTGAGTCTCAGAAGACTGAGACCCGTATTGGTTTTAAAATTGGTCAATGAGCTGAAATTTTGCATGCTGGATTATGGGAACATTTTTGCCGATTACGAATAGTAGTTGGTGCAGGTCGTCTGACTAAAATTTAGAAGCTGACACTGACCCTGACTCGGGCTAAATAAAGGCTGCACGCTGCAGATTTCAAATTTAATTCTCGAAATAGTAGCCTCGAGATTTTTTGCTTAAAAAATCAAGCTAAAAATTACGATGATTTCATCTTTAAGAATCAAGTCTCTATGTCTGCCCTTTCAAAAGTTATTAAAGGTCAAAGTCGTTGGTACACAGGCCCAGGGGACGTGTACCAACGATTAAAAAAATAATTATTTTATTTGTAACTCCACCATTTGTCGCAACCGTTAAAAGAGCCAAGAGTTACCTAGATACTAAATGTCAAGCAATCGTGCAACCATGTTATCTAGTGACAAGGGGAAAACATAAATCGAGCATTATTTGGCATCGCAACTCATTTATCCAAAAATTTGCGACAAATTGTGTGTAATAAAATCATGGGTTGGTAATTTTGTATAAATATATAGATTACATAGATTTCGAACTCTACATTACCAATTTATTTAGTTTATTACCCCGTGACCGTATAAAGAGGTAGAACACATCGAACTTGAAAGATGCATATCGTGAATCGCGAATGTGATAAAATAAATTGTCCAATATCTGCTAGGAGCACGTTTCTACGTCAAGTCCATCGAAAACAAAATATCCGAGTCCAACTAACAACTCGTCAACAATAATGAATCCGTTGTTTGATGTCACTGATGCCTCAACATGAATCTGTCGTACACATTAAATAAATAAGAATTATTAACATTTTGTTCTGTAGACTCTGGCGTAAGGATGAAAATTTAATCATCTATTTCTACCTCGTCAACCGCCCCAAAAAAGAGTACTCTTGTACAGTAAGCATCCCCATATTGTGATAAATCCATCGTGACCATTTCGTTGGACAGTAAATTCCTTCCTACAACACTCAACTTTGACGAAATTGGGGCTGCGATAAAATATTTCATTAGCACGGAAACCTGGGTCATTCTATTTAAATATTTTTTAGATATGTCCGTAAGAGAAATTTCTCCTCGAGATGACGATCGTAAGAGTCGAATTGGAGAACCTTGCAATTTTGGGTAACGCAACAACGGATATTTCGAAAAGCACTCGAATCCTTTTGCTTCAAAGTCTTGAGGCTGATTTTTAAGGCTTACGATAATCCCTTTATGATTGCTACTGCTTTGTGATGACAATCGCTCTCTGCTACTCGCACCTTTGTCCGCGTAGTACGTGATCAACAGTATCCACAAGTATACAAACAGCACGATGGCCAGAACTAGGTGAAAGTGAAAGTCTGGTGAACTTTTCTTCTGAGCTTGTGATGAATTTTTAGGCCAGTAACGCCAGCGATCAGTATTTTTACTGTCCTTAAATTTTTCCTTGTCCAATCGCCTAAATTTGCCCATTATAGCAAACGTATAATCAATTACTACATTGGAATGAAATTCACAATTTGGAGCCAAACTATTGAACTCGACGAGTGGTTTTAAAAATTCACACTTTGCAGTCTCAAAGAAAAGCCTCCTCGACTCATACCTGGCGTCGCACAACGATTCGGTTTACCTTCTGTCGTCACCAACAAACTGATGGAAGAACATGAAAACATTAAGTATTTATTTCGCAGTTGGTGGTGGTGAGAGTGAAATGTAGGGCACCCTGTATTGAGCCAATAATACCACCTTTTGTAAGTGAGGCAAGTCGATAAGTGCCGACAGAGTGATTTAACTCGAAAGAAAGCTGCGTGATGAATTGCAGGTCTGCCTGCCTGGCAATTACGAGCTCATACACTGTATTGCACGGTGAAAGGAAATCTCACATTTGTAGGTGGTTTGACGCATATTTCACCTGAAGGATTGTTTTGCTTGCTGTTGTACTCTCAGTCAGAGGAGAAAGGACGGTCGACGTTGGTAAATCCAACGCATATACAAGTGTGTAAGTACCATATGTATTCCATTACAGTGGTTAGCAGATAGTGCTACCACAATTTTTCCTTCCTTCAAGTTCTGTATGGTCCAAAGTTTTGCATACAATGTAAGCTTTACATGTATTCACACGTGCAACCGCATGAAATTGCTGGACTGCAGCAAAAATAAAGTATGTAATTGATTTGCATTACGACTAATTCAGGAATGTGGTGTATAGTTGTTGTTTTATTCATTAAATTCATTGAGAAAAATATTATTAAGTCATATTCATAGCACTTGAAACTGTAAAAAGTATTCCCGCAACGTACTAATGTGACACAATTGTAATTTAAAGTGGGAGTTATTTTGGAATCATAGGAATCTATATAGAAAATTATTAGACAAACTTGCAGGTTATAACTGACTGAGAATGAGCCATGCCATGACTGCATTTCGTGTTGATATGCAAAAAAATTCAATGCAGAGGATTTCTAGCGTGTGGGGAACTAACCTGCTTGCATCATGGAATAACTGCTACATGATGACCTTCACCTTCACATGTTTTACTGAACATAGATAATAATAGCTCGTACCATAGTGCCAAACATCATTATTCATAAGAAAATCATGTTGGTGTTTAGATTACTTAATTTAAAAAGATTGCTATTTGGTGTCATTGACTGTGATAGATTTTTGTACGTTGGAATTGCAGTGCTTCCTGCAAGATAACAATAACACATATTTAATACTTGCAAGTAACAGTGGAATAATATCCTGTCAGAGCCTAGTCAGTAAGCAAATAAGGCAGTCAATATTATCCATATTTATTAGTTACCACCAACATGTCTTCAATTACACGGTCTTCGGAAATATCGGAAAGCGAGAGTAACTTAAGCAGTTCAGTGCCAAACAAGATGGACCGAGCCGCGTCCTTTCACGGCTGCATTGCTGGTTTCTTGTCCAGCATTCAAATTGAACCCCTTTGCTTGCTGTTTGCAATGGGTGACAGCATTCTTATAATGGTAGTGCAAACCTATTACATTGACCGAATTTGCCTCATTACCAAAGGATACGATCCATTCGTGTGCCAAAATTTAACACACTATCCAGTCGAAGGTATGTCATTGTGCATATTTACTTGATGAATAAACAAATTGCATGCATGTTGCATTTATATGTTCAGAAAAAGACGTGGAAAAAGACGTATCCGAACTGTCAATGTATCAAACCTTAATACAGAGTGGATTTCCGCTGATCATGGCATTGTTTTTGGTTGGGCCACTAACAGACAAATACGGATACAAACCTTTAATGCTTTACTCACTTTGTGGATATATCTTATACATCGTTACAATTATTTCTTGTTATTTCATACCCATGTTGCCACCCACGTATTTGCTGCTGGCGTCTATCCCAATTGCTCTATCTGGGGGCGTTGTTACGCTAAATATTAGTATTTACGGATATATGGCGAGCCAAACTAATATTGAAAACAGGAGCTATCGACTCGCTATCATCACAGCCACTTGGGATATTGGAACTGTCTTTGGATATGTTTTTGGCTCCGCTGTATAAAAAAGCATGAATCTTATTTCAAGTATGTATGCAAATACATAGGAATTATTTACCTAGTTCGTTGAATCTTTCAGATTTTCCAACGAGGGGGTTTCCTCGCTATCTTTTTGTTCATTTTTGTGTTTTACACTCTCTCCGCTTTATACGCGTTGATTTGTGTCAAAGAAATGAAGCCGGAAGAATTACTTGGAAGCAGCAGCACTTCTGGTCGTGCGACAAGATCGCCAGTATCCTCATGGGTCGCATGCATTTTTGGTCCAATCAAGGAAATATTGCAAATTACATTCAAGTCGCGTCCTGGTCATAAAAGAAAATCAATCCTTTTAATAGCGGCGGCCACCAGCCTAACATTTATGGCATTTTCATCCAAAATGAATCAATACCTATTTGTGAGAAACAAATTTGGCTGGGATGCAGATAAATATTCGCAATTCGCAGCAATCAATACCTGTTTAAGTGGACTAGGTATGGTATTTTATTAGGCCTTAAGTTAAGTCTCGTCCTCGTTCTTATTGAAATTATACTTAAAATGTAAAATTCTATATTTCAGGAGGATTGATTCTTATTTCGCTCTTCATGAAACTGTTACAATTTCGAGATGTCAATATTTTGCTTATCAACGGAATAAGCAACTTATCAGCATATTCGATATTTGCAAGTGCACAAAATGAGTGGCAAATGTTTCTAGGTACTTACTGTAATCACAGATTGTATCCTAAGTCATTTTATTATGCATAAATACTCAAGTGTTTTGCGGCGTGACTCAAGAAATGTCGTGTCGGTAAGATTAATGCTTCATTACTTAATTAAACAAGGATCTGGAGTCCAGATGTTTGGAACAACAACCACTTCAATTTTCAAGTCCATGCTATCAAAATGTGCTCATAAAGATGAGTATGGAAAAGTTTTGAGTTTCGTGATATGCACTGAGTTGAGCTTGCCCTTTATTTCTGGACCGATGTACAATTTTATATATGTTCAAACGGTGGCATCTCTTCCTGGGACAATCTTCTGGGTGGCAGCCGGATTTACTGCGATCGTGATTAGTTTGTGTGGGTAAGTTGTGGTCCTCATAGGTTTGCCCGGAAATGATGAAGTCTACAACTAATTAGAGTGAACTTAATAAAATGTAATTTTTTGAACATGTTATTGCAGTGTCCTTCATATCTTAAGTACAAATACTGAGGAATACACCTTTGTAATTGATGATGACGAGAGTATACGATGAGCGATGGAATAAGGTGCACATAAAAATTCAAAAACATCTGCCAGTAAAGAAGATTACTTATTCTGATTCTGTGCATGTCTGACTTTACTTATGGCTGTAGTATGTCTCAATAATATGTATGTTTAAGTCTTCGACCAGTTGATATTCAGCATTCATCCTCTGCTTTCAACTTTCAAGCTGGAACACGAAACCTTTCAAAATGAAGTTAAATTTGTTAATTTTATACGTTTTATACATAAGTGTGCAATTCAAAACGTGCAGTTGTAAACCTACAAGTTCACCAAGTAAGACAAAAATTCATAAGAAGATTCATATTTGTAGGAAACATTTAGTTGTTTATGCAATACCTATTTATTGATAACTTAGAAATTCAAGATTCTACCGCAACCACTGAGCTCACTCCGGAAGGGAAAACTCAACCACCATGGTTAAGGTTTCTAAAAAATAAAAAGACGACTTTGGCACCAGGCACAGATTCTGGGCCATCGTCCGCTCCAGCCAAAAAAGGATGGAAGGAAGGCAACAAGGGCGTCAACTCGGAAAGGGCAGTCGATGAAGCGTCAAACAATGGATTCCCAGAGCCAGCACCTCAACTCAGCGAGATGGATCAGTTGGCCAATTGGTTGGGAATTTATCTACAACCATCCAGGAACATTTTGGCGCAAGATAGGCAACAAAACCCCTATAGCTTGTACGATGAAATGTATTTGGACTGGATGAAAAGAGACTTGGGAAGCGCACCAGGTGAACTTTCTGGCAGCAATAATTATGGCTCTGGGGACGTTGCCGTCAATCCTCTTCAGAATCCATGGCTTGCAGCGCCACAGCCACCTTTAGAAGTCGTCGCCGCTGCACCACCACAGCAGCCTCTTACCTACGGCTACCCCGCAGTTTCCTGGCCCTATGGAATTGGTTACAGCCCTTTCTTCCCATCCCTGGCTGGACTCAAATTGCAAAAGGTCATGGCTCAGGCCCAAGTTGATGCTGCACTTGCTGCCCTCAACATTACAACAACACCGAAACCACTGAAACTCAAACTGAAAATTACAGTGCCAGGGAATACGGACATGACGCAATTAGGTCAGATGACGGCAGGATTTGCAAGCTCTCTCCCAGTTGGGAGCACTTATGAAGTGGTCTAGGTATTTGGAGACTTGTAAAAATTCGAAAACTCCTAAAACAACTGTAAAAATATTTATGTAGGGAACGTCCATAAATTATTTCAGGCAAAAATGCTGATTTTTTAAACCCACGCGTTACACCCCCTTTTAACACGTGGCTCAAATCGGTCTGTCATGTAAAACTTTTACCCTCCCACCCCCCGCAGCCGTGACATAATTTATGACATCCTCGTATTTGGAAGAATTGCATTTTTAATAAAAACAATGTGTACCTATTTGAAACAATTATATGTACTCTATTCGTTGAAGTTTTATTATTCACGTATGCACATTTAACATGGAGAGCATAATATTTAATATTAAGGTTCTTCTGAAATAGTTGTAATTTTTGAACCAACTACGGAAGGTGGTCTCGATACGGATTCACGTCTGAATATCATCGTTGTCCTTCTCGTATTTTGTGGATGTTGTAAGCTCAGAGTTGGTTTTGCCGGTGGGAAATTGATTGTTGAATTAGTTGGAAAATTGTCCAACGTGCGAAGTTCTTTGATAAATCCACCAACGACCCAAAGTGCAAAGGGCTTAAATATTAGTGTTGGCAAGAACCCCAAGACAATTGTGGGTGTTTTCATCATTGAAACAAAAGCAATTGTCATCAAACCGAACAAGCCAAACGTGGCACAGGCCGATCCACGCCATAGTAAACACCTTCCTAAACTGATCTGCATTTATTTGCGTGCATAGAAAATTTATGTTACAAACCATCTTCTTATGGACTAATAAATCCCTTCATAATAGTGTTTAGTTTTGTATAATGACAAACTTACTTTTTGGGTAGCAGAGATCAAAATTATTGCAAATATAATATCCGTCAAAGCTACAATAATTGTCAGGATGGAAAAAGTAATGTATCCCACTGCTAATAGAAAATTAAGCACATAATAAAATTATTTATTGACCACAGCACTACAAATATAGTGGTTGTATTTGTTTGTTAGTATTTGTATTTTCCAAAGTAAGTTTGCATGATAATTACCCAAATCTCTGTCATGGCCTTCTGCAGACTCTAATCTGGAATAGAACGAAACTGTGCTTGCAATACCACTGACCAATACAATTATGGAGAACACCTTAAACCCAAAATTAAATTAAGTCGGTTAGAATAAAATATCATTGCCTCAAGAAATAAAAATGAAAATGTTTGAAATATATTTCTCTCACAATTTGAATTTCTCCAACAAACTTGGATGATATTCGGTATTGAAAATATTCGCCGGTGTTTGTCATGTGTAATAAGTAATGTGTATGTTAGAACAATGCGTATGTTACATTTGCAAGAAAAAATTCTACCAGAATTTTAAGGTTACAAACGAGCCAGCCATTCGTTCTTTATGTAACTGTTTGAGTAAGTATATTTGTAAATATAGAATGCGCTGTTTTACGACAATTTAGCCTGCATGTACATACATATTTACAAATGTACTTAGCATGCATTTTGCAACATATTATCTTATGTAATAGCGAAACTGCCAGTGTCACCGCAATTTCTGCTTAGCCAACTTTATAATAAACCACGAACATGTTCACACTGTCAGATAAAATTGCTCATTCAGCGTACCAATTTGTTTCTTGAACAACAGAAATGTTTGCTCAGAAACCTGCAATGTAAATAAATATGTGTATAAATTTGTTTGTGCTCTTGTCACATGTATTTAATTTCCAATAAGCCTAATGTGTTTAACAGACATATGAATTGACTGTTGTGCCGTTGATGATTCTAATCATATCCAGTAGTCGTTAAATTTATTCTTACACTAAATACACAGATGAGTAATTCGTAAACGAATAATTTTTTCAATGCATGATATAAATTGCTTTATTCAAATGATTATTTTGGATCATTTTAAGTCAATACACAAAATGTAATCGGAATAATTGGCGAATGAATTATTTTCCGATAATGTGCTTTGCAACTACCTTGAAGCCAGCCCAGGTTTCTTCAGCCGTGGGAAGAATCAGGGTCGGAGGAAGAATAAACCCATAGATCCCCTTATCTCGAAGCTCCGCAGTGTACACGTATTTAAACAAGCCTGTGCCGTATGCCCAATCTTGACTGGTTCCATCCGTTGGATCTTAATCGAAAATTTGTTGAAAATCATTCATTTTTACGAGTACGGTACAACTATGTGCTCACAAATAGTGGTTGAGGAGCTTCCGGTAGTATACTCAGTTCCGTAAACGGCCGATATGTTTCCAGCAACATAATTTGCTACCATTTGCTACAATACACAAAAGTCGATAAATCAGCCAATTATGCTTTCAAACTTGAAATTGTACCAATTCTTCGTAATCTGCTGGAGGAGCTGGTGTGTAACCCCAAGGAAGCATAAAGTACTGCAAAAGATGCATTATTAATTTGAGTAATAAATAAATAGATTCCATGAGTTTAATATTAAACCTGTCCGTAGCTGTGAACACTAATGTAACTCTGGAAGTTGACTCCACTTTGTTTTGATTGTTCAATGAAAACCCTCATGGCCTCCGTTTCTGGTTCGGAAAATGGCGTGTCCCCTTGCATCGAAAGAAATGCATTTAAAATCCTGGGTCTTTGGAAATTCAAGCTTTATGAATGAGCAATACCTCTAAAGGTCTCCGAAGTACAGACGCCACTGCTGCATCCAGAGCATGAACTCCACTCGTAATCGTAATTTCGATTGGCATCCACACCGTAGCATGAGGCAGAATTTCGGGACCTTGTTTTTCTCCACATCCGATTTGTTGTGAAAGTGTACTCGTATCCATCTGGGTTTATGATTGGCAAAAAGTAAAAATCCACGTCATCCAGGAGAGCGTTGTCTTCAGGGTTGTTCACAATTTGGTTCATGATATAGCTGACCGTTGCCAATGAAATCCATTCGCGAGCATGGATAGCTAAGCATGCAGCCAATTTTAATTACCCATGATTATTGATACATTAATGAGCAAAAAGTTAAATAACTAAGAATACCTGAATCTATAAACATGGCAGGCTTATTCGCCGATGGATCTTTTGATAACCGAACACTAAAAATAAATTAAACTCCCCTTGTACTTGGCGTACATACGTATTAGTTTAGAAAATTAGATGCATACACTTTAATGTCGCGTCCCTCTGTGCTTTGTCCTATGGTATAAACATGAACGAAGGAGTGTGCTTCGGTCAAATTTTGAAACCACTCGTACATCTGCACAGAGTCATAATATTTTAATTGTGAATAGTTTAAACTTTTCCACGAGATTCTCTTGGCTGAAAATACGTAGTAGCATTATTACCGTGGCCAAGTTGTGATATTTTGTCCAACTAATAGGTTCTCGAACCCCTGTCATCTGATATCCGTCATATTGGCTCGCTATCAATCTGGCGTGAGGGAAATCAAGTGAGATTCGCATGTATGCTTATTTTTGCATTGCCACATTTTTACTTATATTGACACTTACTGTCCAACATCTTTGATTAATGGATAAAATTCAACATTATGAAGGGAGAGATACTGCGATATTTCTAAAATTTTGTCAGATGGAACCATAAAATCAGTGTCATCAGTCAAAGATGGTTCTTTCCAGAAATCGAGGCTTGGGTGGTCCCTCTGCAGGTTAATAAGAGACATTCCTTGCTCAAGTGTTCTGGCCTGAGCTCTTATCACTTGGTACCTGACAATGACAATTATAATATTTAATTACTGATTAACCAACTGAATAATTATTTATTATATATTCATACGCACCCGTCGAAGGACTGGTACCCTTGCGACGGAACCGTCTTTGCTGCACATGTTTGGATAAGGCAAAATGCCAAAACAGTTAAAATTAATTTGTACATATCTGCACAATTCTAAATTTTGTGATCTGAAATCCAACCGAAAAAAATGTCAACTAGTTAGGTTCTGCTGTATTACAAAAGTATTTATGCATGTACATTTCGCATTTCAAATGAAGTAATCAATACACAATAATTGATGAGATAAGAGATAAAAATGAAGGGTGACATTAACGTATGAAATATGTAAAGTGCATGTCATAGTGGGAAATTCCGGATTTTAATGTATTCTGAAAAATGTTAACTCTCGAATAATAAGCAATCGATATGTTTATTCGTAAAACCTAATTATTTAGAAATAAACAAGTTATGGACTATTAAGGTGTTTTTATTTTAAATCCTTCGTATTTATTTTTCAGGGTACCTTACGTTGCATTATTGTGTCAGGGAAGAGATTAAGAGAGATCATGGAGAAAGCAACGTTATAAATATTTATATGAAAACGCGATAGTTGACGAGTCATGAGGACATTTGTATGCATGCATAAGTAGTTACGTAGTTTGTGTGGGAATTAAATTCCTTTTCGGCTATACCGTGTGATTTTATCGTTGCGTGAGATCCCCCGATTACGGGATGCGTAATTATGCTGTTTAGGTTTTATTGACCATGTGACCCTCTTCACAATTTTAATCAACTACGTCCGGTATGAACAGATACATACATTATGATAACCTGTTATGTCATATTTTATGCACCAAGACAAATGCCAATCCTCGGCTATTCGTAGTACCCGTTTAAAAAATTATCTACAATGCAGACTTGGTACAGTCAGTCGTTTAGTCATTTAGTCAGTCATTTAGTCTCTTTCTTAATTTCGAGACCAAGTGAGGGTTACCTTTTAAACTCCCTTCGACACGCATTTTAAGACTATAAGTTACTCAAAATCGGTTTAGTAGTTCGTCTTCTATTTATCGCGTCACAGCGAGACAGGCAAAGGGTGTACATACATTCATAAGCCCTGGCTCGGGCTGAAAACTAATACTTTCATTCATAATGTGAAATGTAATGGTCAAGTGAGTGAATTAGTGATTATGTTGCCTATGGTACGATTCATAGTTTATACTATCAACATTGGGCATACGTAGATACACCAAAATGTTAATGGTAAATTAATTGCAAAAATGTATATTTCCTGTTATCCATAAATGTATTCGTTAATGCTAGAAAGAGGCATTGCGTTTATAGCGTTAGTGACTGAGCTTGAATGGAAACTGGAACGAGTAACGAGGACATCGCAATTAAACCATTCACGAAATAGCCCATCGCGTCAGTCTCATACAATCCTCTCTGTACATGATGATTTCCAGATATAAATACTTGCGTATATATGTTTCATAATATATTTTCATGTTTGTTTTCTTATGGCAAATGATCTAAAATTGGGGGAAGGCAAGAATGAGGATGTTGGTGTTTTATCAATGCAAAGTTTAACTCAGGTTATTTAACGTAGTAACTCAGCTTTCTCCATACTAGTCCTAAGCTTTACACAACGAATTGAAGAACATTGTGACGCCAAGCGGAGCCAGAAGTCGAGAATAATTCATGCAAAGTAATTGTTGGTGAATTGACCCTGAATTGAAGTTAATAATATGGTTCTACATTTACACTGGGTCATACAATGCACAGTAGACAAACAGTGCACGTTGAAACAAAATAATAGACAAACAAACAGTGTCATTGATTAAGTCAGGGCCACCAGTTTTAACGTGGAATTGTAAGTGATACTCGTATGCATAAGTTCCATGAAACAAATTATTAGTTATCGCACATGAGTGATTCTAACGGAAAACTTATTTGGAATCTTACAGCGGAATATTTTTTAAATCTTTCACCATTTCACCACGATAAACAGTTTAAGGATTAGCTGATGGCAGTTTCGTTGTTTATGTAGGTCTGCGCGTGGAGAATACGAAAGTTTGTTGTGACACCATTCAATCGATCGGTGACTGTTTGTATTGTATAGTTTATTAGGTTTGACGTGTTCGGCAGAACATGACAATATCCATTAAAGGTTTTGTAATTTTATTGATTTAAAAAATAAATAAACTGGAGCCTTGGATATCATATTGTATTGTATTCAAAATGAGTTAGCATTAAACCAACGTAAATATCCTATTAAATCCTACTTCCTGTCGTTAAAAATTGCCAAGTGATATTTTCTATGCTATTGTTGGATCGAAGGGAACAAGTTACGACAATGTTCTCGCTGCAATTTGCATATGTAATTTGCATATGTGGCGCATTGTCAGCAACGTCAACGCATTCTTTAACTAGACGCCAAAGTATTACTCTCTGGACTCGAAGCAACACAAATGGACTCCTTCAAAGCGCTCTCACTCGTCCTGCGGCAGGTAATATTAACAAATTATTGTATCGATAATGCTAAATTAAAGAACGTTTTAAGTATTCTGTGATGCCTATATATGTAAATATGTACTTAGCTGCTGGAATAAATGAAATTGGGGGAAATGGAAATAGAAACAAGAAATCCACGATTCCTGATGCGAGACCCCTTTTTGAAGAGAGACTATTTGTAAGCCCGACAGTAGAGTCTGTGATTGAGGATGTTTCTTCCAGAATTTCGGATCCAAGTCTTCGACAAATTTTCCGAAACTGCTTGCCTAGCACATTAGGTAAATCTTAAATCTTATAAAATTTACAATTATGCACAATTGAAAAAATGTCGATTTTTTAAATTTATCTGTAGATACGACGGTTTTATGGCACAGACCAAGAGGTGCTGATTATAACTTTCCGTACACCTACATAATCACTGGAGGTAAGAATTCCAGCAAATATTCCATATTGCATATAGTAAATAGGAAATTTCTTGAACTTTTATTGGTGTAGACATTGCTTCGATGTGGCTACGAGATTCGACGTACCAAATTCATCCTTATGTCCCTCTCGCCAAAGATGATGACCAACTTCGCGAACTGGTGCTTGGAGTAATTAACACGCAGGCGGAGATGATAAATATTTATCCATTTGGAAATGCTTATTTTCCTCTCGACCATTGGAATTCCAACATTTCTCTATCGCCACCCGATTTCGGAAAAGATGATCAAGTTTTTCCTTACTACAATAGGGAGAAAGTGTTTGAAGCGAAATATGAGCTGGACAGTTTGGCATCTTTTCTATATTTGACGAAGTACTATTTTGAGGAAACAGGAAACTCAGACTTCTTGGATAATCCAAATTGGGAAAACGCCACACGACTTGTTCTTAGCACCATGAAATTGATGCAGAGAGGAACGCTTGAAAATTACCGTGCTGATCCGTACAAATTCACACGCCCAACGAGAACACATACAGAAACACAGAATTTATACGGAATAGGAAACCCAGCAATGCGATGTGGGCTCATTCGATCTTTCTTTAGGCCGTCGGACGATTCTACTATTTTGCAATATCTAGTACCTTCCAATGCAATGGCGGTTGTAGGATTGTACGGTGTTTCCTACGTGCTTGACAGCACCGGTCGATTTCCTGAGCTATCAGAAGATCTGAAGGTTCTTGCGAACGAAGTGGATACAGCGATCAAGAAACAAGCCATTGTTCATCATCCGGAATTTGGACGCGTCTTCGCCTATGAGGTCGCTCAATGATCATTATGGACTTGAGTACAATAAATATTGCACAACTATAATTATAGAAACATTTTGCAATTATGCAGGTGGACTGCTATGGCTCGCATGTATTTATGGATGACGCAAACTTTCCATCACTGTTATCTCTTCCTAAATTTGGATATGTAGCCAAAGACGATCCGATCTATATCAACACAAGGAAATACATTTTATCGGCGGACTGGAATCCATATTACACAAAGGGAAAATACGCCGGTGTTGGATCTCCTCACACAGGATTGCAACAAACATGGTAAAATAAACTCTATCATTCATGATTTAAATGTTTTGCATGGATAATTCATAGTTGGCGAACATCTTTTTCAACAGGCACATGTCCTTGTGCATGCAGGGCATGACTAGCACAGATGAGTTCGAAATACATAAAATGCTATGGACTTTACGCAACACAACTGCTAATACGGGACTGATGTGAGTTTAATTTCGCAAGTAAGAATGCTTCATGGATGGATTTAAAAAATATAAAACAAAATTCCAGGCACGAGTCATTTTATTGTAATGACCCGGAGACATTCACGAGGAGATTTTTTGCTTGGGCCAACACGGTGTTTGGCGAATTTATAATTTATTTGGACCGGGAGTATCCTCATCTTTTACAAGGACATGGCCCCCGATATTCCAGAAATGGATAACAATTATCTGTAGGAAACAAAAAACCATATGCAGGGTTCGGAAAAACCCAGGGTTTTAATCAAAAATTATAAAACCCATGGGTTTTAATGGGTTTTACCATGTTAATTGGGTTTTATTTGGGTTTTAATGGGTTTTAATGGGTTTTATTGGGTTTAAATGGGTTTTATAGGGTTTTATTAGTTTTAAGTAATAACTTAACAAAAATAATTAGGAATTTGTATCTATTCGGAAATTATTTTGTTTTATAACACTTGAAATCTGTGATGCTAAAGGATGGAGTCAATTATTGAATTGTTCCGAATTTTCATATATTAGAATAGTAATGAAATAAACTGCTTTAGAATGAATTGAGATAACGTCTTCTAACGTATAGGAGATGTATTTAACTTTTAGAATGTAGTTTTTAAGTAAAACTCAATTAAAACCCAATAAAACCCATTAAAACCCAAATAAAACCCACTTAACATGGTAAAACCCACTGGGTTTTATTCATTTACAACCCATTAAAACCCATTAAAACCCAATAAAACCCAACCCATTAAAACCCAGGTCGGAATACCCTGACCATATGTGATTCGAAAGTGTTCACACGCAAATAAATACCCACATCATGTTGTTTATACATAACTAAAAATAATAGTAACGCTTTAAAATATTAGGGTAATTTGTTACAGAATGCGCATAATGTCTCGTAAATATACATATTCTACAAAGTAGTGAGACACGATTTAATTACTGTGCCTAATACGTATTTTCCTCCAGAGAGTAGGGAAGATAAAGTGATGAATAGATGATTAAGGGATTAGAGAAAAATATGACCATCATCGATCTTTGCACCCATTTGGTCAGTCCAGTTCATAGTCCAGCGTAAAACAATAAAGTTTGTCGTACATATGTACGTACATAATACCTGTCTGTTGTAATAAGAAGATAGTCAATGTTGGCTCACATTAATGTCGCAATGCAATATTACACCAAGGCTATCAACACTTTACTGGATGGTTAACAAACTTATGGATATTCAACACATCATCAAACGTGCACATGTATGTATGTACATACACACACACACACACATATGCACTTATATATCACACACAAATAACGTATGGTGTATGTGAACTTTGATTGATGAATAGCGTATGCATTCATATGATGTGCTGCAGTTGTCAAAAAATTGTTAGTTTACATAGCAAGTCCAATACAACAATATCAATTTGCTTGTCCATTGCATTGCCCACACCGAGCGTGCTTATCTTGTGCTCAACTTCCTGGTAGAGAGATGCTGAGTTCGGTTAAGACCAAGTTAAGTAAAAACTTGCCAAAACATCTCTGACCTGGGATATAGCATCATCAAAAGGGTCACCATTTTTAGTAAACAAAATTAACTACTAAATAACTCTTCCCCATTAAATACTTCAAGATGAATCAAAACAATATTGGTGAGAAAATAAAAAATACATGGACAAATAACCGATAAACAGTGTTCAAATATTCAAAATCGTGTATTACATTGTTCCTTTTGTAAATTTTAACAGGAATCTCCTCCAAGCCTGTTGTTCTCAGCGAGACATTGGAAATTATAACGAGTGATTCTAAAACCACTGCGTTTTCTACGCCTGAATCCAAATCCAATCTTGGCTATCGATTCTCTAATCAATATCAAGATAAGTCGGCTAATACTTTGGTATCTCCGCAGCGACCTCGTTACGGGATTTTTTATGATGGGTTGAAAAAAGAAACTAAAATTAATATGGAGTTTTAGTATTAGGATTCAACAAAAATATTATTTTATACATATGTACTTTGCGGTTCATGTGATTGTAACATGCTGTAATAATTATTTTTTATACTTGCGCTATTATTAAAATTGTTCGCGTTAAACTATTATTTGTACATCAAGTCCTCAATGTTGTATCATTATTCCAAACGAAAAATAAGAAAATTGTACAGCAAGTACAATTTTACGTGGTACAAGTCAAGCATTATTCGATAACTTTAAAATGTCTATGCAAAAACGGTGCAAAAAAGAAAATATGCTATAATGTTACATTTAAATTAAAAATATAAAAAGCTAGAATGTATGGAACACCTAAGTAAAGCATAGCTTGCAAAAAATATCCATCTGTCCCCTAACTGGGACTATGCAAAAAATGTGATGGTTTTGGGGGTTAGGGGAGGAGTCAATGCATTCTATCCTGTTCCATATTATTTGGGTTTAATAGGAACTGGGAACCGAGGTTTCAAATCAGATTTCTCTCCTTGTAGTAATTTCAGAGATGATTCAAATGGTTTTAGGGATGTTTCTCACAATTTTTGTCATTGTTAGATGAGATACATATTATTGATTTAAATACTTGCATGCATGTGTGCACTTTCAAGTGTAGAATGAATTTTACAGATTTTGGCCAATGATGTTTATTCACTCAACTAGCAGTTACTTTTAGTTGTAAACATTGTTTATTCCATTTTAATTGATTCCTACTCTTTGAAAAAGGGTTTCAGAATTTTGCACGAAAAAATAGGCCAAAGTCGTCCTAGTCGGTTTGCAGTTGAATAATTTTATCAGAAAGGTGTCCGTTTCCAGAAGTTTTAAGTGATTTTAGAAAATAGTTAATATTTGATGAAGTGACGCGAGAAAATGCACATTTGAATAAGTATTTGTAACGGTCATTCCGTTCCACAAGTTTCATCTGAAAATAAAATATTTCTAAAGGTTCAAAATTTCTATATATATTGGAGTCGATGGAGTAAAAATTTGAGCAATCCTCATACCACTTCATCGGCTTCTTCGAAAGTTAAAAAGTCATTGGAAACCAATTCACTAATTAATAGCTGAATACGAATTGCAGTGCTCACAAAGAATTCCATGTGCTTCTCCAACTTGTCAATTGCACATGAGTCCTCCATTCTTCTACAACATGTAAAATCATTACGTATTTTATATATGAATTAAAATAATTAGACACGTTACCGACTTTGACAGGCCAACACAAAGTTAAATACGTATCTTAGGAAGAATGCATGTTAGATGATACATTGATGATGAAAGTCTGTATTCTGAGTCTCCCTTTAATCTGCATTTATGGATCTTGTACAAATTTATCTTTAGTACGCTGATAATCCTAAGCTTCACTATTCTACTATTATGGACCAAACTGTGCATCGGCTTTATGACATCATAACTGTTGCTGAATAGTATAAAAATACTTATGTATTTGTACATATAGGTACCCAGAAATACCTTTTGTACGTAATTAAACCTTGTTGGACTGATAAATACGATAGAGTGACGCAAGCAGCAGAATAATGACTGAATAAAAAAAACAAATCAGAGTACAATACACAATACAAACGAATTTATTAAATATTGATAAAGATAATGGACAATGATCATGAAAATGTATTAAGCATGAGATAGCACAACTTTGGCAGTGGCACATAGTTTTTTCAAGTTTTATTTGAGATAATATTGCACCCACGTATTTTAGTTAAAGCTTCAGAGCTTTCATTAGGAACTTCAATTCTAAATATTTAAATGAGAATAACTAAACTAAATTGATAGACATCCTGCAGCTATCCGTGTATAGCATCAAGTCTTGGTTTTATTACGAGTCAGTTATACTGGAATTATCGACTTGTGAAACCATTCCCTTATTCTCCAGGTTTGGATGTACGCACTTTAGTCACACAATTTTATAAACCAAAGCAAAGTATTACATTTTATTGTCACGTAGAAATTTTACGCACCAAACTAAGCAAATATGCATTGTAGACCAAATGCAACAAATCAAAGATGAGAGACTTTTGTGCATTCGCTGTTAGATTGATTGCCACAAGGAATTGGGGATCGTGCCACGATGGGTTTGCGATCAAGAGGGTCCACGATCGATGCTCGCTTACCGTTTACTGCGCCCCCTGAGCTAGTTTTTGAAATGACAGATTTACCATTTCGCAATTTAAGCGAGTCGTAACACTCGGTTTGTTGATAGCCGCCAGTGACCGACGACTCGTTCAGAGTGGATAGATCAGCTTCATCTGCGCCCATGCTTCTCTCCGGAGTCTTACCTCTCCGTCGTATAATATTCAACGGCACTGGAGATGACTGTTGGCGAGGCGTTGAAACGCCACAACAAGAAGGAACTGGTGTCCCACGTGGAGATGAAGGGCAAGGATGCTGACCAAAATGACCATTAAAGTGTTGGTGGTGATACGTACTGGCAGGACCAAAATTTGCAGAGTGCTTGAGGAATGCAACCAGGCTTTGTGCCTCCTCCATCAAATTCGTTTGCAAGTCTTGTGCATTTTTTGCAGAATCCAACAAGTCGTGAGCCTGTTCTTTCATTGATGATGCTTCCTGGTTAAAAAGGAATAAGTAAAAAAGAATAAAAATGTTGTCTTTTATATACTTTTCGATGTAAATTTGTGAATAATTGCATATCAAATTTTTAATTAATTACTTGAATTAATGAGGCAATCTGTTTTTCAACATAGTTGACATGATTTTGTAAACGAGCCATTTTTTCTTGTGCAAAGTTTGCTGCCGTCCGTACAGTTACAATGTTTTCTTGAATAGTTCCAACATCTTGACGAATCCCAGTAACGTCTGCATCCAATTGTTTCGTCTCTTGTGACATGGATTCCAAATCCTTGTTCAACGAGAATAAATTTCTCTCCAGTTGAAATCCGTTTGTATTATTCGTGTTAAATGTGCAACCATTCCGGTCAAAAGTATTGTTGGGACTACTATTTTGACTGCTGCTGTGGTGGCCATTTCTTTGAATATGGTGATTCAACATGTATCCATTGTTAAGAAGCGGAGACCCATGAACTGAGGATGCCTGACGTTGATGGTGTTGAAATATTTGCATTTTCATATTTGTGGGTGGGAATACGTGTTGTTGGTGAGCACCATTACTATTGAAACCATTTTCCATGTTCCCCAGTGGTTTTTTGGCTTTATTATTGCGTTGCAATGACAAAAATGGCCCTCCATTAATACCCATTGATAAATTACTGATGTCGGAGTATGTGTCTGCAGTGAGAGTACTCAAGCTGCTCCCACTTGAAGCTCGGTGCAACGATCCAAATTCCGTTGGGACGCTGTTGTAGTCTCGTGCATGATTTGTAATCGGGGGTTTGTGGGGATTGATGACGTTGTTGTTGCTTTCTTGCTCTCGTCGATTCTTTCTTAAGATGCATGGCGGTGGAGTCACGGAAGAGTTTCGGATATTGCTTCCTATCATAAATACGTAAGCAAATGGTTGGTTACTGGTTTTATAAAATTTTATCGTGTGATTAAAAATTCTAACGACCTGCTCGCGACAAAGGACGGCGTTGAATATAACCACCTGACGCCAATGCCTTTTGAGTGCACAGTTTTTCTCCTCCAGATCCTTCATTACTGTCCGAAGAGCTGTAGTCGTAGATGAGCTCAATATCTGGGGTATCGGTTCCGTCAACTTCTCGGGATTCAGTGCTGTCCCAAGACTCAGATTCTTCTCCCATTTGAATTTGTTCGTCCACAATGTTTTTGGTGCTGTTTATTAATAGTTTGGACATTGTCACATTGAATACATATAAATTGAAAGTAAAAGAACAAGGTCGATGTATACCATGCATGCACAAAATCAAGGATATTATTTAAAATATATTTATTAGAAAATCACACACATTAGTTAAAAAACTCAATTTGTCACACATCCGAATTTTTAATGCGGCTAGCTACGGGTATAATTTGATTATTTAATTTTGAAATCACAGTCACTTATTCCCTTTTATAATATAGCATAATGTCGAGTTGAGGAAAGTTGACAACGACTAGACGCACCTATGACTCATTCTTACTTCAACTATCATCATATAATATATTTACAAAGTCATGCGATTACAAGCACGAAAATTATTTGTTGTCATTGTCCTAAAAAAGTATATGTATGTGCGTGGTGTTATCCAATTTTCAAAATAATTATAGAGCTCTAAACATAGAGAAGAAGAAACAGCGTACATAATCCTCGACTGCTACAACAAAACCAAATTATGGGAGTATGTATGGTAAAAAAACACAGCAGTACGCGTATTTCTCCAGAATGTAAGAATATAGCGATTTTAAACGTACTACAACTGGATCATCCTGAGCTCTTGTCTCTTCAGTTTACAATAATGAACAAAGGAATTTTTCGAGCCTACTTTTGAGAGAGTTTCGAGCAGGTGGATTGTTAGTGGGAGATGCCGAAGGACTCCGTTTCGAGCTTTTGGTAGATGGTGGAGAACCGTGCATGCTTGAATAATCCGACGTGTTATCTTCCTCCTCCAACTTGCTGCCAGATTTACGAGGAGAATCAGGCAAAGTTATAAACCAAGCTTGTTCAAAACTCAAGCGTTTAGCATTAGGGGATTGGTTGTTAGAACAAGAAGTGGCGTCACTCAAATATATCGAGTTGTTAACCCTCAATTCATCCTCACTCTTCGATTCAAATTCCAACCTGATTTTCAAATTCGTTTCTAACGAAGATTCCACCATGGTTGCCGCTCTTCCATGAGAAGAATCCCTCGCCACTCCCATTTCGTCCTCAGAGTCCAGTACGGGATCTGTCTCATTAGGTGTTCCATTCGGACGCTGTGGTTTTCGTGGAAGCCGTCGACCTTGAGGACCGCGAGGGCGTCCTTTTGTAAGGTTGTCGAGGCGTGCACCGGTTCTGGGCAGGGTTCCCGTTGGTGAATCATCCTGCTGCTTGGACTTTGTCTTCGTTGAGGAATCTCTCTGTCAGGCAAAACATACAATATTAAACTACAAGTCATGAAGTTGCAAAATTATGACTTCAATTGGCACCTTTAGCATGGCAAACAAACGATAAGATTGAGAAGTATGAACAAACTCAATTTCAATTGCAGTTTACTTAGGATGAGTATGTCACAGAAATAATTTGTCTGAATAACTGAGATTTCATGCAGACTCAGTTGTTGGTCACTATGTGTGTAGCAATTCAATTAAATTTAGTTATAATAAACAGCCTTTATGAGTCATAGTTCACCAGTTTGTCCTGCAAACCAAGATCTACAAATTTAATGAATATGAATATGAGCTGACAAATGTGTTGTGTGTTGTACGTGAGGGAATATGTTTACATTTATACCCATGTTATTGTTAAATGTACATATTAGTATTTCAGCTTATTTATTATTCCGAGAAATTTACACACTGCAACTTCCTTCAACCAGTCAATTAAAATATCCGACTGAGCTAATAAGTAAACTACATTTGTCACATCATGTCTGTGTCATAATGTGTAGTGATGCATCCTACGTATCAAGTTTTGTGACAGGAAAAGTGTTGTACATAATCAATACAAAAACCCACCACAAGTTTTGTGATACATAAAAATATATAAAGTTCGTAAAAACATTGCATATTAAGTGCATATTTAACTATTTACATGTATTGTACATACAGATATTCGTTTAATTTCCATTTGTGGGATTTTATTATGATACACTACCATTATGCAATGTAAAGACTTAATTACTTTGATTAACATTGCTAATAGCTTTTAAAAATAATTTGATTTCATAATGTTGCCACTTCGGTTTGGTCATACTGTTGAAATTAAACCAATCTCCAATATTTATAGCTGTTGTATTATATCCAAATGAGTTGTATTATGTATAAGCAGATGCAGGACTTTTAATAGTGCTGAACTAAAAGCATTGGTGTCGAATGTCAAATTGACAAATCCAGTGACAAATAAATGCATGCATGCATATTGATAAATCTGTGTGTATGTACATAAGAGAGCACTTTACCTTGGTTTGTCCTGGCGTGAGTGATCCATCCCTGGTTGTCTTTTTTTCTTTCCGGATGTGATTTTTCATTGCAGAATTTATTGCGTTCACCTGAGTGAAGTGATTTCAAAATGTTCCTTCACATTATCGCAATTTTGTTACTCTGAATACATTAAATAACGAATTTAGCACTCACCCATTCCTTCATTTCTGGAAGTGTTTCAGCCGAAAAGTAATGTCGACCCTGTAAAAATTCGACAGCTTAAGTAAACGACACTTGCTCAACACACCCACACCACATAGACAACAAACTCTCTAAACCTTAATTCCCATCATAAAACCCAAGTTGAATGTTCCAATCCGACTTTTTAATTGTGTATTGAAACCATCTGTCGTTTAACCAAAACCAAGCCGGTGAACCCAGCCTACATACAAATGGTGTATCTGACTCAACAATTCAGAAGAAAATGCGATGAGGGTGAAGATCTACACTTGGCATTGAAGTAGGAGGAAGTTGCATTTCTTCTGCTCACTGATAAATTCCTTGTGTATCCAAAGACGCTGGTAAACAATGCACTTTTCATGTTAAGAAGGCAAGCACACCAATGCGTGAAATTCTACAACACTCGTTCCTTTGTCTATTGTTTGATAAAAATAAAGTTGATGATTTTATTTTATTTTAATTGCACCTTTTACAATTAGTGACGAGTAGCACCATTTGAATGGCGACTGATCTAGATGTCGCGATATTTCATATTTTTCTCGCAATACTATTTTAATTAATTTGTCCATGCTTAAAAACTGACCTTAGAATTAAGTAAATGCAGCACAGCTAGAACCTACACTATGTTCCATAATAAATATGTTCATAATAAATATGTTCATAATAAATATGTAAGAAAAAATTAAATGGGTATACATGTATGTATACCTTTATGTCAAACAAAGACTTTTTGCAAGCGTTTGTTACGAATCACAATCCAGCAGTTGTAATTGTACATATGTGTGTATCAATACATTGCGGAATTATTACAATTAACAAAATTTTATCTCGATTTTGTACTCAAATACCACCTAAAGAGGAGATTATTTAATGCTTAATGTGAGTATTTGTCTCGATAATTTGATTCAGCCTTCTAAAACAATAGGCAAACACATTTCATGACCAGCGCGAATTTGCTTTCGTGGTAAATTAAGTTGTTAACTTTCATCGTCACCAACATTAAAGGTTGACAACTAGATATGTACGTACGTTCTATAAACTTACGTTGAAGCTAAAATTGTTCCGGATTTGACTAAGGAGCGTGCCAAAGATCGCAATTAAGATATCCAACAACTTAAGTTCTGCGTACCGACAAATCATAAATTTTTGCACACTCGTGTATTAAGTAAGCCATTGAAAATAACTTTTCTGTAAAAAATACTACAACTATTGTTGCGAGTAATATGAGAAAACCTTTATTTACTCACGGACACGGTTATTGTTTGAATAAAATCAGAACAAATTTGTGTCTCTATTCTAAAAGTTCTATGGCGTAATGGAAATGGATAGCTCAGGAGGAAAACAACCGGTTATCACAGAAAATGGTGTAGCGATTAGAGAGTTAGTAGAAGGTTTGGCTCCAATTGTTTAATAATCGTGGGAGACCCTGTTCAGTCTAAAGAAGGAAACTTGTCTTATTGAGTTAAATGTGTCACAAAAGCAATTACTATGCTCTTTTCAGTCAGTATGGACCTATATGCCACAAACTATGCATTTCAATGGAATGGATTTACATATTATATGCCATAAATCAACACTTACCGAATGAGACTCGAAGAATCCTTTATCTGACGACCCAATAACCAAAACATTGGTCGCTTTCCTGGCCATCCGGGTAGAAGCTTCTGTGCAGGTATCGAAATAATCTAGATTCACAGTTCCACAGTACTTCTCTGTCCCATTTCCCTCCTGTTAAAACAATGCCAATTTTATATTGCAATATTTAAGTAATGATATTGTGGTGAAGCGTGTCTGATTAAAATATTATTAATAGTTAAAACCATACGCAATCTGTATATGCTAAATAATATTTCCCAAGGTCATTTGTGTTAGTAAATGATATTATTAGATACTTATTAGGGGGATGTCTACACACGATATTAAATATTCCATATAAAAATCAGTCTGACTAGGCAAGTAATTAGCTGATTAAATTATGATAATTATTAGGAGCACACTTACATCATTTTCATAGTAGTAGAGCTTATTCTTCACCAAAAGACAAAACCTCTCTCTCCAAGTTCCAGACGTGAGAATTCCCTTTCCGCTCAGTTTTTTTAGTCGTCCACATCGGGACGCTTGGTCCCGAAGGGATGAAACTGATGGCATCATTTCCTGTGTTTCCGGACGTCCCATTTTATTTTGGCAAAATTTGGACAGCCATGAAAAATCGAAAAAAACACTTGTGTTAATTGTATGAATTATTACGTCCAGTGGATACGTGAAGCGTGGGCAAAATCAGCGTGAACACCATTTCTGTTCAAACGTTAGGCAGAAAATGAGGATTATTATGTGCTCTATAATGTTGGGCAGATTTTTTATCAGATTCCTCCAAAAGGTAGAGATGCGTTTCCGGATTGATTCATTTTATCAGAAGTACACCAACCAAACAATAAAATAAGTTTTCCAACAACGGCGAGCTGCAAATCCCAATACCACAATGGAATATTATGACGCTCACATGGAGTTGTTTCCACAACTGAATCTGGCCTTACTATGAATCTCGCCCACCCACTAACCACGGTTTTTAAGCGTACGATTTGCGGATAAAAGTTGTATCAAAACTAAAATTGTTGCGCCTCGGATATGAAAGGTGTGTCCACGCTAAAAGTGTACAACACTATTTTTTTAAGGTACAATCACAACGAATGATTTGTGTACATAAGAATGCGTACAATAAATATGCTCAGTTTTGAATGCTGGGGTGCAAATAAAATCGCCGATCGCGAGCAACCCAGTAATGCACAAAGGACTGCACTCGAGCTGAGTTGTCAACTTCACAATAGACTTTCAAGTCCAAAACATTATAAATTTAGAATTAACTATGAACCGATGCTGTCACAGACCACGCAATACAAGAGTATGCATTATTTTCAACAACAGAGAACTGTCCGATGGGATTTCCATATCCTCGCAGTGCATGACTCATAAGCACTAAATTGACCAGAGTTTGTTTTAACGTTTGTATAAAAATGTCACAAGTGACAGTTGGTTGAAATTGTGTTCTGAATGTAGCTGCTAAAATAGCATGTGACTTAATAATACTATTTTGTATTGAATTGCATGTATTAGTATTATGTATATGGACTGTCCAATGGGATGCATAAAAACGTTGATGCCACTGTTCCCTTGCATGCATAGATCATATCACAGTCAAATCCAGCAGGGTTTATAATTAATTCATAGCTTTGTGTTACACAAATGAACTATTTCCTGAAACGTCATACGTCATAAGATAAATATATTGATGTGTTTGATGCATTGTTTACTCCCAGCTATTTACTAAAAGCGCATTTGATAAAACTACTCATCTTCTCCAATGGCTATCAAAATGCACTGTCATCAGTTATAAATTTAAGTTAAATAAGTAGTTGCAAGAAAAGCCTATGTTAATGAACAATCCGTGAATTGAAGTTTGTGTGGCTGATGAATAGTTCACCAACATTAATTTAATTCCCCCTGTTTGTCATCCAGCGTCACAACACAGTTGCTACCAAAATAAGCTTTAAATGTTAGTTCTGGTGGTGAGACACCAAGTTGGCCATAAATTAAAGATATTCTTGCAATGTTAAGTCGGACTCGTGTAGCTGTGCCTGGAATTTGCTTGCTACTGGTTAAAAATCTCAGCCCATCTCTCACAGCATGCAGCAAGCTAAAATTGAATCCTAATGACAAAGATAATGATAGGAAGGGTGGATCGACTTCCTGGATGTTGTGCACAGCCGACCAGCCAGTAGTGAGTACTTTAATTGCTTTGTATGCATAAGCAAATCTTCTCCACGCTATGAGCGATATAACAAATAATATAATTTCAATTAAAATGCATCAATCTTTTCAACATGTATTTCTTAATGGTTACTTCTAGTCACGGAAAACAGTAACTGAATCAGTTAACAAGGCTTTGGTAAACCTAGAAAGTAAGTGTTAATTGTTCATTAAAGTTAATTTTCTTGTCCTTATTATATTACGTCCTTTCCTTTGTGGTTAATTGATTTTGCAAAGTTATTGAACATTTTCAGACAGTACAATCTGAAACCGATAAATCCGCTTACGTACTTTGTGATGCAATTATTCCAGCGCATTCTCTGCCTAGCAATGAAATTAAGTGACCTCGTATATTAACTTAAATATATATTCAATTGCACAAGGCCTTTGCTAAAAGAATGTCCATTAACGAGTCATGGAAGTTTCATATTTTACATGAGCGCCCTTTGTTCTTATGCATAAGTAAGTCCACCATTTATTTTCTTAAATGCAAGGATTGAATTTCGATGGAAAAGTGTCAAGTGACAAGGAAATATGTGCAAGTTGAACATTTCGAGCAGAAGACAAGACCTCAAGTTAAGTCGTCTTTTCCGTGGAACAAATCGCAGGGGAATTCCTCGAGAGAACATGGCAAGAAACAATGAGTGCAAAAAATGGAGCAGATCTATCTACATAAGAAAAATAAATTAGATTTTATTACAACCTAGAGTATTCCACATTTAGAGAGCAACCCGAGTAGATGGCAGTATTTAAAACTACAAATTGCAGTATTTAAGGGATTAAAACACTCTTGTCCTGATAACACAGCATGTGACTCCTCAGTTGCAGTGACGATGCCATGCCATTGACAAACAGACTGGTGAATATCTGCCCCTCTTCTACGTACGCATGAACTTCCTGAAAGAATTTCTTGAGCTTAACGAAATGGTTCATTGTCAATTGTACTTCTTCGTCCATGGTTAAAATTGGTTTGTTGCCATTTCCTCGCTTCCTGCCGAGTCGCAGTCGCAATCCTCGCACCAAAACCCTGACTGCGCGCATTGTACGAGACAGGAGATGAACTCCATTGTCAATCTTCCTGGTGATGCTACCACTTGAACAAAGAGTCTGCAGAAGGAAGACTGAAAGTGTAGCTGCTAATTTTTTGTGTCACTCTCAAATATAATGGGACGTGTTGTTCTGGTCGGAAATAAAGATTATGAACCATGTATTGTTATGATGACCAACAATTCATGCTGATTGGATCTACTTTCCGTGAAGGAGCTGGTACATGCGTAAATAAATATTTATTTGAGCTCTAAAAGTACAAAGTCCAGACGTTTCATTAAAGTATGCAGTGTACTAATTTTTTCCTTTGCACGGAAATTTATGTAAATACGTATGTATATGTATACTTATTAGATTTAAGTATAGCATCAGAAGGGAACTACAAATATGCAACCATAGACCTTCTTTTGATCAGTGAAGGAATTGAGCAGTGACATTGGTGAATGTTCAATTAGCATGTAATTGAATTAATTAGTTTCTATATGACACTTTACTATTGTCCACCGTAAAGCGTATTGAGTGACAAGAACTAAAAATCGTATTTCTCTTCTCCTTGTTACTCTTCTTTGCTAGCGTTTTGTCTCGAAATGCATTTCAATTATACACAAACCAAAAGAAACTCGGATGCAACACAAGTCAAAAGCGGTGGACAAACGATAAAGTGGTGTGCAATCTACTTTTACTTGTGGAAATTGTGAGCAATTACAAACGAGTTGACTATGCATAAAATTGTTTACCCAAAGTCATTTCGAGTACAGTTTTTGTCATGATACATAGCAAATTAAAACTAAATAGATACCACTTTCTAAAGCAATCCTGCTGTTTTAACATGTCCACAATATTATCAAGAATGGACGATGCGACTCGATTTAATTTTTTCATAGATTTATGCAAGCTTTTTCATAAAAGCGTGTGACATCGTGGTGAGTATGGTTTCATTTGATGGTGCTTCAAGAATTTCCCTGTGGTCTCACTTTTTACCGTTTCATAAATACATAATAATAGTTGTTCTTGTAAGATCTCTGTTTTGTAAAATCTCGAAAAATATACACTTCCCCCAAATGAAAATCACAGTTGTTGACCACTGATGGATGGATATTAACTAACTGGATATTCTATCGTAATCTCAATATTAGTCGAAACTCCACCTAAGAAACCGGTAGATGGGTAATATTTAATAAACCTTATTAGCGTCTTTAAATAGCCGCATGGTAAAATTGAGGAGTGATTAATGTGATGCAATTCTACTGTGCCTAACATGTTGCAAATTGCGGTACAAACATAACGCTAATGCAATTCATTTTTCATCCCAACTCATTAAGCATGAAACTTGTACGTGTCGTTATTAGTGGAGTTGAAAAATGATACATTACGTAAATGGGTATATAAGATGTGCATTTTCCCGTCAAGATGTAAGAGAGCTAGAGATCTCATCATTTCTTGAATCTGTAGCACATCGCCCAAAGAAAGAGATGATGAAGGTGGTGTTGTTGCAAGGATGCGTATCATGCGTGGAAAAACATGTCACCTTATGATGATTGGTGATGTTGGTTGACTTTTGTTGGTGAAAATTTAAAGAAATGCATTTTTCATGCCGCTAACTTGCAGCCCAGAATCCCCTCTCTTCATATTAAGCAGGAATCGGTGAATATGAAAGCAAAGTGAGGAGATTTTACTTCACCGAACGACGTAGAATGACAGACTAACTTACGCAAGGGGCGAGCGATGACTGCATGGCCGTGGGGTTACAACGATGTTTCATGGCAAATGGGGATCCCATTTCCGGTTTTTAAAACCAACACCAATCTCAAATCTTGTTATGCTGTTTAACTTGTGGAAATGTTATCCTGCTTTTTTATTCACGGTAACTTCAACACTTAAACTAATGACATGTAGAACTGGATGTGAGTTCCTTTAGATTTTTGTTACTTTTTGGTCTTTTGATACTTTCTTACTGTGCCCACGGTTATTGGGCAAGGTATATTTATTGAAGGTTTATCGATTAAATTTATGAATTTCTGTTATATCTCCCGATGTGTCTCAATCTCAACGTTAGGAACTGTCAATTGTGTATTGCACATGTATTTAGCTTGTAACAATTGTACATATCTATGTATATCTGGAATGTTCAAATATTTCCTCTAAAGTTAAATGGAAAACTTTGTACAACTTAAAAGAGCAGTTAATAAACCTTAATGGACCTTCTACCCGCAAAAATAAGACCAATAAAATGTTTTATGATCTACTTTGTAAGCATAAACTTGCTTTCACTCCAAACTTATCAAATTCTCTGGGAGAGAGACTAGTTGGGAGAAACCACAAATTAGAATTCTGACTAAAAACTTTGTACAATGAAGGAAACGCGTCGTTTTGAAAACGTCACTCGAGTGGTAAGGAAAATAACTGGTACACAAGTTACTAATCCTGCCTGCCTGCCTGGTTTTCTTTGTTTTATGTCCAAAGTAGTTAAACAGAAGGATACGCCAGGGTTTCGATTAGGAAATACTGATACAACTGACTGATACTGATTGACTTTGTTCGACGACGAGAAACAGTTTCTGGAGTGGAAATAGCAAAGGAACTTGAATGGCAGAAATTGGAATGAAAATCAGCTCGGAACTTGAGAGAGCACGACACACGCTCTAATGCTCTGCAACTGCTTCGCTGTTCAAACTTCAAACTTGACTGAGTTTCTAAATGACGCTTTGTAGCTTTGTTATTTGGGCGATTTTAAAAAGAACCTTAACTCGCACCCTCACTTGTTTTGAATCAGATAGCGAGAAGGAAGAGTGCACGGAGAACCCTTTCCAACTTGCGTAAAAATAGCACTAATTTAATACAGTGCACTCTTCTCCACCTTACAAATACTACTTTAATCTTACTACAAGGGAACCCAGCAGTCGTCAGAACGCCAAAACTCATTCAAGTGTTGAAACAACACAATATTTAAACATCTTATGGTGTAATAAAGCCGAATAGATTCCGTAAAATTTAAGATGGATTTAATAGATTATGCTCCTCGTGTATAAAGTAACCTCCTTGAACTTATCTATCAAAATGACCAGCAGATAAGCAACAATGAATGTATCACCTTGATTTGTTTAAATTTCTGCTTGGGTTTCCACTATACATAATTTTCAAGAGAATTCGGTTAGGCATACATACAAAGGTTCAAAATCGGAAGGCTAGTAATATTGCTGAACACCGTAAAAAAAGTGTATAAATGAAACGTGTCGAGCCTCGTGTAGTTGGTTTCATTAGAGGAAAGACTGCCTGGAATGTGAATCTGCTGGTTAAATCTTGAATGATTGACTTTTATCCTGCGATCCAAATGTGAGCACCCACAAGTAAAAATTCCATTAGCACTCTTATGTTTCCTATGAGTCGTAACTCAAAAGTCCATTTAAGGGGATGATTGTGCCCTCTCATAATAACGAGAACAGAGCATACAAGTATTTACAAATGCACATATCGGGCATCCGACGGAGCTAAATAATTGTCAATTTCTCCTTTCCTCAGACCAAGACAAAAATAAGTTATAGGAACTGATGAAGTACACGTCAGCGTAATGATCCAATGTTATTGTTAAATTTGTGTCTCTGCCATATAGTTAATCGAAGGAGAAAGAAACTGTGGTCTAACAAGAATGGTCGTTAACTTATACGCACAACGTTAAAGGTTTTGGATAATAATGACTGTCGAGGATTTTGAGATTTTGTTTAGACTTAAAAATGGAATTGTCACGAAAGGAAGGATTTCATGCAATAATAGTTGATGATCTAAAATAAGTCTAAACACAAGTTTTACGTACTTACATGGGAAAGAATGCAAAGATTTTGATTGTCTGTAGGGTGCAGATAAACAGCTTTGACGTTGGAACCCCCCACAACTTATAATAATTTATGGTTCAAAGTTGGATTTCAAGAACTTTTTCCTTGTTGTCACTAAACCAAAGATTGCACAGAGCTCCTGCAATAAAACACACAGATGCTGCTGGACATCGTGTTGGTTAAAAGTCAAAAAGGTTGCAGACTAGAATGCTCATCAAAAAATTCACGCTATTTTACTTTGTGGCAACATCTTTAATGCAGTTGGATGAACATCATCGAAGGTCATGCTCATGCATGCTTGGCTTAAATCCCGCATTGTGTGTTAGCTATTTTTTTCTAAAACAGACCAACCCATGGGATGCATGCTTTTAATCTCGAACCAACAGATGAAACCGCAGTTATATTGCGTATTACGTGTTTGTGTGTATCTAAATAGGCTCATTCGCGACCAGTTACCATCCACAAGGTTTGTGGGCGTAAGTATATTTGCATAGCGTGGCCTGTGAAACTAGAAAAATTGATTTATGAGATTCCAGTAGCTCTGCAAAGACGAAATATTGAACCAAACGACATATACTTTTTATCCTTTATGCAGACTCATCCCTTCCAACTCATTACACATGGTGTGCTATTTGTCACCTCCTTCCACACGGTCGGCTTTTCTTATCAGGAGCTTCAGTTTTGCAGATGGGAGACTGTAATTATGAATGATAAAAGGAAATCCAATATAACGCGTATTTGTACGAAGCATTGCAATCATTTATAGGCGCAATTCATCGCCAACAGAAATTGCATACGAATCATTGAATAACTTTATTCCCTGATATCATCATATAATGCGACAAAAGGCATAACCTGATATTACCGCATGAATAAATTTGATTTCATTTTGTGCAATATGCAACCATTGGACTTCCTCAAACTTAATAAATTGTTATCGATGCAAAGAAGAAATTAAACAGGAGCACCAGTCGTTTTACAAATCCTAAATCCTCATGAAACTATTTATTTACTACTTGGATGGATTTGCTCCCTTGATTTCCGTCACGCTCAAAAAGAAAGAAACGAAAAGTACATTTATACGTAATTATTGTAGTTTATGGCACCGCTTACATTCAGAATGAGCACAATTCTGTACAACAGGATAATATTTTCAAATTCACGTGTGTTAAAATGTGATTCAAAAGGAAAATGTAACTAAAATAATTAGTTGCTTCCTCGTAACTTGCTAAATAGTTATAATAGCATTATCTTATACGAAATAACAGATAATTTGACTCTAAACAGTCTTTCACTTGTTATAATTTATACCTGTTGTTTCAATCCATCAACTCAACAGATTGTCAACTCCTGACCAAATGAAACGTGTTTTAAGACAAATAATATTGGGTTAACAATACCAATGCGGTGTAACATTGTTCGTAATTAAAACTTTTAATGTCTATAAATATACGGATAGTTGAGGCAGATCAGGACATCCAATCTAAAAACTGATAATTTTTAGACGAGCATAAATATTTGTATAAGGCATTAATTAATTAATTTGAAGCTATAAATTTCTTGATTCGGCCTGTGCAAATATGCCCAGACAGATGTCCAATGCATCAGCAGCGTTGGTAATCAATCGTCATTGGTGAAAGATAAAAGTACGAGGTTAACTAGTATTAGGAGATTTGTTTTACGCTGGATAATTAAATTGGCTTTATCTCTGAGCAAACGGTAACGTACTAAGTTTTTGATGTAATTTGATCATCAATATTTGACACGTTTGACATTTCATGTTTGATACTGGTATTCATCCGCAGCACGAAGAAGCAGAAGAAGCACTTACATAAAGACATATGCGCAACATCACATTGCATATTGTAAGCTGTTTGTGGTACTTCTTGAAGTATATAAAAATAGTGATGGCATTTACCACTGTCATGTTGTACAAAAGAATTTTAGTTTTTTGGTACAGAACTGGAATATCACCTTTAAACTTCAAAGCAGCTTCGGACAGTGCGGATTTTAATTACGACGCAGAAAGCAAAAGTAGTACAAACAATATAAACTCTGAAGGAAGTAAATTCATAGTTTACCAAGTTACCAGTTGGAAGCAATCAAAGCCCTTGTTTTGGTTCACTTTAGCCTTTTCAGTCTGCGGGTTTGTCTTTAGTGCTGTAAAGCTGTTGATTTTAATGAAAGGCACGGAGAAATCAGCACTGCCGAGCGTAATTGGTGGAATGTGCTGGTGTTCTTATATTTTATCCTGCTGCTTCATTTACATGCTACACTTGGTCAAGGCCAATAAATTATGCAATTTTTTCGAGCAATGGCAAAATATCGAAGGAGAAATTTTGACAGGTATTCAAATTCAGTTGATAATAAATAATAATTCATTTGAGTAAATCTGCAGAATTTTATTATTGTTTGTTTTTCACCAGAAAGCAAAGCAATGAATTTTCTTCGTGAGACAAAAGGCAGCAGGTTTTGGGATGCGACGCATGGAATACCGTCTTTTTGTGTCAAGTCGCAACGGTGGGGGATGCGTCCCTTCATCATCACGATCCCACTGTCAATTATCCTCATGGGGTTCAATATTCTTGTGTCGCCTCGGTATCCAATGTACTTGTACTCACTGGTGCCTGCAGATGTGGAAATCCTATGGCTAAAGTTCGCTTGTTTCATTATCACGTGGATGGAAGTATATTTCTTTGCACTGTGCGAAAACCAAATTGAGATTTTATACACTGCATTTGCAAAAAGTGTTTCAAGCTGTCTGAAGATTTTATATATGCCAGCGCAAATTTGGCATCCATACAATCCTAAAACCGCTCCTAGTTCACCTTGTTTGCATCATGTTTCTAAAATAAATTTGAAAACTACCAACCACCAGCACAAAGATGAAGCCAAACCATCTGTCACTTCTGTAGATGTGTTGAACACATTTGAGGATTCGGTAGAAAAATTTGAAAGATTAAATAGCCTTGTTATTTTATTCAATAAAATATTCGCATGGCCAATGGTGGTATTTAAGACATTTACCATGGTTAGGCTTTGCTGTTACGTTTATGTCATACTGAAGCATCCCCAAGCACAAACTGCATTTCCGGCTACTGTCGCAACACAATTCCAGTTATGTGTCGTTTTTCCTTACGCTGTGTTTGCTACGTGTTTCAAGTTTGGACTGTCGCTTACTGCTCTGGGCGAAGTTTACAGTCATAGTGTAAAATTTTTGCATTGTTGGAAAAAGTTGCTAATGCTTCTTAATCAACAACCAAATTGGAGAGAAAGGTTGTTGAAAAGCTGTTCTAGATTTGGATTTCATTGTGGGAATTTGTACACTATTCGCCCCCAAACTATTCTTACCTTTTACTCGGTTACGCTTACCTATCTCATAATTTTACTGCAACTTTAACCATTTTGCTTTCTCCTTCCAACTTTCCGGCCGTGCTATCGTTTTGAATGCGTAATTTGCTTATAAGTCACATGTAAATTAGTCATGACATGAAATCATATATATGTACATATACGTAGGCGTATGGCTTGAAATTGCGTGTATTGACTAATTGTAATTGAAAAGTGTTGTAACAGAAAGATAACGTCGAAACGTTGGATTGCATGTATTTACTATGTATAACGGTTAGATATTACTGTTACTATCTGCCTGTGTCCAAATCTATCAATATCAATCCCTTTGTTCCTAGTCTCCTAGACGTGATTTTGACAATGCACAATAATTTTAATAAAATATTTAACAATAGAACACAGTCAAACGCTGTCTGGATTTACCTTTTAGTCAATTTGAATACTCTCAATAAGTATTAATTAATTGATTAACTACTAAATATACCCTGGAAGTTTAGCTCCTTGTTCTTATCTACATAAATAATTCATCCCATACTTAATATGTCGCACTTAAGAACAACATTACAATCACAATATAAATTTATACGCTTCTTGAATTTGCTTGGAGTTTGTCCATTAAAACTAGTGCGGGTGTCAGTAGAAATTGAAGATAAAGAAAACGAAAATTCAGAAGAGATAAAGTTAGGTCCTAACCTGGGACCAACAATTGAACTTTTTAAAGTTCATTGCAAGAAAATTGCTAAAACTCCATTTTACTTTGTTTCATTTCTTTTCTGTTGCGTTTTGTTATTTTCATTTGCCAAACTTATCAATATTATTATTAGCGATACTAAAAACAGGCCAATGGTGGTGGTTATCGCTTCATTCTGCTGGTGCATTTATATTCTTTCGTCCTGTGCAATTTGTGTAGTCTACCTTGTTTCGAGTCGTAAAATTTGTGAGTTACTGTGGCGATGGCAAATTCTTGAGGCACAAATTTTGTCAGGTAAGAACCAAGCTGCTTACATATTTTAGGGATGGTCAAAATACTTTCTCAAAATACAGTATTTTGAGCTCCATGTTTTTCAGGGTTTGGATTTTCAGGGCTGTTACACCCATGAAAAGACGAAACTCTAAGTGAAGAATCCAACAGTCAGTCGAAAATACAGGTTTCATGAAGAAATTAACTTTTTATCATTGTCCAAATACTTTATTTTTGTAAAATCGGGAAAAAAATGTATTTTGACAGAGATAAAAAATTAATTTCTTCATAAAACTTGTATTTTCGACTGACTGGATTCTTCACTTAGAGTTTCGTGTTTTCATGGGTGTAGCAGCCCTGGAAATCCAAACCCTGAAAAACACGGAGCTCAAAATACTGTATTTTGAGAAAGTATTTTGACCATCCCTGATATTTTTAGTCAGAATTTTCATGATTATAGAAATATACATGTGCATTGAATATTTTCTTTGACGCTTCTTTTCACGAAAAGAGTTCCAGAATAACAGCATCAATCAATTAACTGGCCATTCCCCCACTCCTCGACTTGCATTCATCCCAGGCATTGACAGTATCAAAGGAATGGATGACAAATATTCTGACAATTTCGCAAAACTACAATCAACAACCATACGACTATTTCTACTTTCGGCCTGCGGTACTATTACCCTCATGTTTTTTAATGTTACATTTTTCCCCCGTTTTCCAATGTACATTTACAGTCTTGTGCCAAGCGGTCAAGATATTTGCTGGGCGAAAGTAATGTCAGGCGGGTTTAGCCTCCTTATGGTCACACTTTTTGTTCTGTGCGAAGGACAAATTGAAGTATTTTTTATTTCATTTGCACAAAGCATTTCAAATTGTCTGCAAATCTTAACCTATCCAGCAGAACAATGGATTGGTTGTGAATGCTTAACATGTAATGTCGCTGACAACCTTCACGACATTAATAGTGGCAGTTGCGCCAAGACCAGTTGCGCCAAAGGCTGGAAGGTGTTGGAAAAGTTGGATAAAAGATTGTCATATTATCATGAATTGAGTATTTTAGTCAAGTCATTTAATCGTATTTTTTGCTGGCCAATATCATTATATAAAGTTCTTACAATGTTACGACTATGCTGTTATGTTTATGTACTGCTGAAACATGCCGATTACAGCTTCTACGGACTATTGATCTTCCCTTACGCAGCACTCTCGCTAATAATTAAGTTTGGAATTATTCTCATGACGTTGGGAAATGTCCCGTTTATGTCGAAACAGTTTCTTAAATATTGGATTCGTGTTGTCGTGCAGTTGGAACGAATTCCATTTTCAGCGTTGGAAAGAAAGTTAGCCCGTGTATCCAAGTTTGGTTTCATGTGTGGTAACTTTTATATTATTCGACCGCACACGGTTTTAACTTTCTTTTCTGTTACTTTGACTTATGTTATAATTTTGTTGCAATTGTAAGCGTATTTCAATAAGTCTAAATTTAATAAAAGTAAGCCATGGGTCTTATGTCTTATTTATTTATTTATATATGTACAATCACTGGCTATCACATAAATGTTATGGACGTTTTGTTGCACTTTATATTGGTTTGGAAAACGCATTTTTGTCATCTCCCAAATCTAACGATTCTAGAACTTGCTCTATCCATGGCGAAAAATGAGGAACATTAACATAAACGCCAGGAATTGCATTGCCACACCCGATACCCCAGCTCACAATCCCAAGTTGAACGTAGTGACTGGATCCTGAGACTTTACAAAATAAGGGACTTCCTCCATCTCCCTGTGTAAAATGTTTTATAAGCTTGTCAATTAGTTAGACTTCTCATGGATGCACCCCAAGGAGTACTGTTTAGTTTGAATTAATAAAAATACCTTGCAAGTGTCCTTTGCAATTTCTCCGCCAGCGCAAATGAATGATTCGTGCAAATGGAATTTACTTCCCAGTTTTGTCCCCCTCAGTCGTTCCTGGCAATCTCTTCGTGGTATAATTGGAAGCTCGACACGTTTCAAAATGGAATGATAAACTCCTTGTGCTCCTAAAAATAAATTCACATAAAAATGACAAATGTTTTAATTGGTTGCCACTTTCAAATTGTAAATTTATAATAATAGAATTTATTCTATTATTCCAGAAATGTGTATTGAATGATTTACCAAAAACGTCTTTTCCCCACCCTGTTGCGAAACATCGCTCTCCGTCAAAGTCCGTAGTTACCGAGGAGGAAGGCAGGCATATTGGAGCGACATTTGGAGCTAATTGGACTTTGTTTCGCAGAATTTGAAATTAAAAGTATTAATTTTGGCTTCATGCAAATATCTGTATAAATGCGAGGGTTATAAAAGCAAACCTGGTTTTTTAAGGATAAGCAATGCAATATCATTCAATATTGTTTTCTTCATTACGAAATTTGGATGCATAATTATCTAGAAACGATTACAGAATTGTGCGTACAGTTTTGGTCAATCCTATATTTATAATTACATGTGTAGACTAGTACACAAACAAACAAACAAACCTGATCAACCAGGACCTCTTCGTAAGGATACAGCTCGGAAGTAGTTTGGGTATCCCATTCTCCAACTCGGATTAGAAGTGTGTCCGCAGTTTTACTGCAATAAATTATTTACAAGTACTTATTACGAACAGAATTTAACGCATTGTCAAATTTTAGTTGACTGATATTCGTATATATACTTGTGCATACTTTCGTAAGCAATGACTCGCAGTGAGAACGACGGACTGATGGATTAGGGATGCTCCACATATGAATGATTTTAAAACTTTGCCACCCTGGTGTTTTGGTTGTTTGAGTTCAATTATAGCCGTCATCCACGGGAATTCGCCAAACTGCGACTCATTATCTTTACCTCCGACTATTCGGAACCCAACACCACGGTCATTACGCTTTCCACAGGTTGGCTTCACAGGCTTGACAGGTTGAGGTGTGGGCACTAGTAAAGGACGCTGCTCCCTTATTTTCTATAAAAAAATGACTTAACAAGGTAACCTTTGATTTACTTTAATAACTGCAAAAATAATATTCTGGGTTTGCACCTCGCAGCAAATGTCTAGGAAATGGGGGCATCCCCCTTGAGGCACATTCAGACGAATATTAATCAAGTCCAAATCAGCACCTTCCTCCTCCGAACTACCATCGTGAGAGTTTAATTTTTTTGAACCAACATCGCACATGAAGAATTTGGTACAGTTGCAACCATCGTGCTTCAAATATTGAGCATTTAAAGCTATGATATTCTCGTCATCTTCAGATTTTGGTACTTTTTTCAGAGTTTTACTCCGTGTTTCTTGAAACTCTTTAAGCAGTTCGTCCAAGTAATCGTCCTCGTTGGAAACGGCTTTTCCATTAACGCGCACATGAACACTGATGGAAATTAATACAAATAACACGAAAATTCCGTGACGGCTCATGGTGTCATGTTTAATACGCTACGAAAATTATAATACATGAAACTTAGGGAGAATGAATACATTTTTACAGAATTTAACAAGATTTTAGGCAGACTGATTATTTCTTCATAGCTTTGGATTAATACCTGCATTAATTTGAAAGGTTCAGAAAGGCCAAAATGTGATCTACACAAATATTACCAATTTACTCTATTTAAAATTAAACAAATGGTCATACAATGAACCTCAACGTGCTCCATACAGAAAAGGTAGTTTGCAAAGTTCTACTTAATAAGTAATGAAAATATACTCGGGCAATGCAGATATCTATCATGAAAATGGAAAATACCAGCGCTGCTATACGCCTTCTTCTACCTTGTTACGATTAACCATTTTGCTATTTCTGCCTACAATCTTGCCTACATAATTCTAAGTAAGTGACATAATGATCTACATAGTAAACACCGAGTTCAATCTTACCAGTTTATTTAGAAATTAAAACAAAAAACGCGACTGTGAGCGTGTTTGCACAATTCTTTGTAAATCTAATGAATTCCAAATATATTTCAACCGATGTATAATTTACAAATGAATTCACCTGATGCAAAAAATTGTACAATCGTCTTCCGTCACAATGATAAAAGTAAAGTTTTATGGAATCACTTTTCTTTTTGCAATGCCTGAGGCTGTTATATATTCATTTGCATAAGATTAATATACGCATAGAAAACCTGTTATTGGCTTGACTTGAATTAGTTGTTGTGTATGATACACTTGTAATTGGCTTAATTTATTTGCTTCTTAGTTAAAACAGACCCCATACTGGAGAACATTGCAAAGCGTCAAAATGATTCGCTATTTTCTGTCAGCTAAAACTTATGTATGAGGTAATGAAGTTAACTGAGTAATGCTTGTATTTATACATAGATTTCAAAATACATAGGCACGGGTTGCAATTGAATAATGGACGCATGAACTATATAAATTAATATATTTCGTAAGACTTCAACTGTTTTTAATCTGTACTCCAACAGCAGCATCTGTCAAATATGTAAAATTAGAGGAACTCTATTTTAATTTAATTACCATTTTAATTTTTGGTGTAGAAAGCGTCTTACAGAATACAACGGATAAGGATGCCCGCAATATCGTTCATAGTGAAGGTTGACGATGAATCGCCCAATTTGTCCCCATACAGCGCCTCAAGTTCTTCCTGTATGGTTTTATAACAATAAATAAAAATAGTTGGTAATTGGACAAATCCTAAGAGGAGGACGTAGGGAAATATAAGTGTCACATCTTTGTACCACCTTTAACTGCTCATAGTGCTCACACAACAGCAAATTATTTGCTGACGAATCCATGATAAGCAAATGTTGACTACGAGATGAATTTTTCTTGAATTAACTGTTTCAAATGGAGGTTAAACTATCACTATCTGAAACAAGCGACTTGTGAGAATTAAATAAAATTAATGCTATTCGGCTTCAGTGAATGGTGCCTCATACAGCATTAATTATATAATTTTGCATGGTGTCATGTAATAGAATATTCATTTTATTTCGAAAATTATATTTTTAATACGCACAACATCTGAAATGTGATCGAATTCATTTCTAAGTTAAGAAACTCATAAATAAATAAATGAAGAATTAGAAGAACCACATTTGCGAGGCTTGCCTTGCAGATTGCCCAGCATAATTATGCTGAAATGGAAATGAAGGTGACACAGCATAATTAATACTGCTCTGGACGATTGAGTTCTTTGTAATTTCGATAGGTCCGGACACTATCATGCTATCCTCCATTCGGTGAAGCTTTATGTCAGTGAGTCTCACGTTATCAGGGAATCGGATTTTAGCGATTTTCATCTCCTCTTTAGCTCCTCCAACTCGTATCTCAATATCTTGCCCATTGACATTGGATTGAATATTCGTCATTGCAGGAATGGGGAGTTTTATTTGTAGGTTCCCATTCTGCGTGGTCGTTGAAATGGACAACCCTTTCGTCTGAATGGTATATCCGTTCGTGAAAACACTAGACGTCCATGATGACAGAGTATTGGGCTTCACTTTTCCTCTGGCTCTATAACGATGAGAAAGTACAAGCTCCATAATTGACGATGCATAAAATATTATGGACATGCAATTATTAATTGTCGCTACTTACGCGCTATTCTCTATCATTTTCGAGACTTGAATTCCATATTCTTGCATGTGATATTGAAACATGGCCATGTCAATTCTAAAATTGTCCCAGCATTTATTCCATTGTGGAGTACCAGGGAAGCTATCTCCACAACTGGGAGCCTTGGGCACTTGGGGTATAGCAATAGGTTCTTGTATTAGGTTTCGAACTTCAGCCTCACCACTGATCGTTGCAAAACGGCAAATGAAGTGTGCCAGTATCAGAAATGTAGAACAACGAAGAGGGGAATACCATTTCACCACCAACATTTTACGACAATAAACAGGACGAAATTGAAGTATGTAAGAACAGTTACCACACATGTGTATGTATAACGCTAGCGGTGTGCGTGAAAATAAGTCAAAGTTATGATTCCATTGTGTATGAAAATACGATTTCATAAAGATTTATTATTTCTTGAATACAAATACTGAAACAAATAAGATTCTGCTTCTTGCTGGAAGGATATGTACATACAAAGCACTAGCAAAGAACGCAGTTTAATTAAAGACATTGAACTAAATTTATCACAAATTCGCGTATGCAAAAAATAAGTCAACTTGAAGTCATGCTTCAGTGAAGGTCGATCTCAAGTAAAAACATATTCGTTCGTGATAATATTTAGTTCAAGTAATGTTCTCGTGTTATCCATAAAATTATAAATATAGTAATTATAACATGAATATGTATATATATTTAGTAGTGCTGGCGTTGAACTACAAAAGGAATCGCTGACTCAGCGTTTGCAATCCAGTCCTGGTCTTCAAATTAGTTAAGATAATAATGAATTAAGATCATTTAAAATAAATGAGCAAGTAAAGATAATTACATAAAAATTCGATTATTCATGAAACTGAAGGTAAATAATAACTAAAACTCGGTGTTCTGCATTGTCTTTTTTGGAAAATAAAAACCTCGATGTCCATAATACTCAATTTCTGGAGCATTTCTTTCAGCTACCTTGTCTCGCAACCCGTAGTAAAGACATACCACAATACCAACAATAATCAAAGCAAACAGCGGAGAATAATGTTTAATAGTGGTTAATAAAGACTTGGCATTGTTGTGTACAGGTACATTTAAATTGGTAACATCCTCCATCTTATCCGTTTTTGCAATATCCAAACCAAGCACCCATTGAGGTGCAGTCTCAAGTCCGTCGTCATTGCCATCCGTTTTAAATTGGTTCAAGTGCTGGAGAGGCAGCACAGCGCAATTGCCACTGTCCCGGATTTCTTCGAATTGCTTATTTTCGTGTTGAATTTCGACTTTCCATTTAATGGTAAAAGTTTTACCCACGGAGCTTCGCGGAAGAGCAGCATTTTGGATCTTTGACCAAGATAATGTGGCTTGGCGACCTTTATCTTCCATTGCTAGACAGGTTACCCACCAACAAATGAATGATTTGTGTTTTTGGGTATGCAAAAGAAACGATCGGTCATAACGCCCTGGGAACTTCACGTACATAGTGTCAAACTTATTCCCTAAAACATGAAATGTAGTAAGTAGTATCAAACTATTTTGGCAAACTAACAACATAAAAGTATACTGGCTTACCAAGTTTTTGAGTAAAACTTGCAACGAGTGGGTTGTTATCGTCAATTATTTCCCCCGCAGTCTGATGCGAAGATATTAAGTGCTGAAGGTAAGTATTCGGATAGAAATTACTAAGGCAGCACGGTGCATTCTCAGCTTCTCTGCACTTCAGCGGCCTACAAAAGATATCTACGTAAAATATTTTGGCACATATTCAAGAACTACAATTATCATATGAAAAATATTTTCATGTGAGGTCGATTCGAATGCACTCAAAAGATAAATCGTGACAATTTTAAATAAATAGATTTCAAAATACAATATACATTACACTTCCATATAGCTTTAAATTTGAATTGGCATAATTAAGAAAAATTCGTAAAGTTATCGAATATCATCTGGTTTTTACATGAAACGAATATTTTATATTCAGAAGAAATATTTTCCTCACAAGAGGAATTTTGACAATGCATTTGAAATACATTTATAATTTCAAAACCGAACAAATAAAATTAACATAATAAAATATAACATTCAATTTGATTACTATTAGTAGTTTTGTCGATCATGTTTCCTAGCTCATGAGAAATACCGAACCTGTGTCAATCGTTTCATGCAGGCATAATTTTCTGAGCAAAAGTTCAATCCTTGACCGAATGTTACTTTGTACCTGAAGAGACAGTTGTCCACGTGCGCCACATATGTCGCCCCCAGAACGCTTTCTTCACAGCCGAGATCTCGATATCTGCATTTGAACTTTGTTCTCTCGACAATTGCTTCTAAGGGATAGTTTCGAACCTGGGTGAAGGGAGAGAGACAAGAGGTGCAAGCGTCCACCAGTCGAATGCACCCATTGCAAATGAAATGCCCTTTTTCACAAGAAAAAATAGGTGGGGAAGGAAATTCAGCGCAAATTGGACATTCCAAAATTTGAATGAGTTGGTCGTCTGGTAGTGGGACGTCTATATCGCCATTTATAGACATCGAACTACACAAATTAGACAATAAAGGAAATTAAAAAGCTATTTTTCCCAATGTGTAATCGTGTCACGAAATTTTCAATCAAAGAGATGGTGATGTGATATTAAGCTAGGTTTTCATTATCATGATAAACCAGATGCAATGAACCTTACTTTTTTGACGTTATTCTGATCACTCTAGTAAAACCTTGTAAATTTTCACTCATAGTTTATATCAACTCGTAAAATACTTGAAGTAAGTTAAATCAAGAAAGTAAAACGAACGAAAAATACAGATACACGTGTAACAATATTTACATCAAACAAAGCGAGCTGGGGTAAATCAGGAATTTCTCAATTTCGTCCCATTTATACACTTCACACTCCTCTCAGCTGTTGTCACTTCACAATTGTTGTTTTTTTTAATAAATTGGTGATCAGTTTTCTGGATCTACTTATTTGTTTCATTTTATGTGCACGTATGTCAATCCCTGCAAAATCATACTAGTTAAGGCGCTTATCAAAAAGTGCCAAGAAAGTCGTTGACAGGTTGGTCTAATCAAAAGTCGTCATTGTTGTTGTAATGGAATCTAGTCTGACCAAGTATAACACCGTCCCCAGTTGTGATTTAGATTATCGAATCAAAATCAAGGTGTAAGCTGAAAAATACTATTTTCATTTTGCATAAACTTTGTTTAATTTGTCATATTATGTAAATCAGATTCAAAGAAATTCTGATATTTTGGTCAAACATTCAGTTTAAAGTTTGAGTCTCAATATTATCATTACAACAGGGGCTGCTTAGAAGGAAGAGTTAAGCGGCCAGATTATGAAAAATTATTAGAGGACCCTTTGCTCAAATTCTCTGGACTTTGTGTGAATGAAATTGGTGATTTTCGAGTAGATGTCCAAGTATTTGCATCCAACCAACCCATCTGCCTACCAGTGTCCACATCTTATAAACCGTTTACGACCCGATGGAAGTAAGTTTTGAAAAATTATGTGCTAAAAAATATATAATTAATTTGGGTTAACTTTTATGTTTGCATACTCGTGCAGTTGGAACGAGTGGGTCACCCTTCCTGTCAGATTCACTGATTTACCTCCAAACGCACAGTTGTGCCTCACCGTTTACGACTGTTGTGGACCTTCGAAAATGACTCCTGTTGGAGGAACCACAATAAAGATTTTCGGTAAAAGTGGAGTGTTCAGACAGGTACTGAATAGTTTCTAATAACTCAAAAGCATTAATTAAATAATTCAGAATTGTGTTTCACTAGAAATTTATTTTAGGGAATGATTGACTTGAGGGTTTGGCCAGGTCAGGTGGCGGACGGAAATGAAAATTCGGTTACTCCGGGAAAGGGTCCAAAAGGAAATAAAATGTATCGACTCACTAAAGTAAGGCTGTTGATAATTACTCCCACCCAACGATTTGAATTATGCTCTGTATAAAAACTATGTACAATATAGATACTGATTGATTTGTTATTCCGTATGATATAATTTGTATTATTAGCTTGCTAAGAAGCATAGGATGGGTCAAATGACAAAACTGGACTGGTTGGATCGCTTGACCTTCATGGAAATCGAAGCTATTTGCGAAAGGGAGAAGCGAGAGTCTGATTTCTTATACCTTAATGTTGAATTTCCTATTGCTGAGTACGATAGAGTTCAGGTGAAATTAATTATTATTAAGTTGTGGGAATTAAGCGATAATATGTGTAATATGAGCTAAAGATTATGATGGTATTTATTATTGTTTATATTGTAGTATGCAATAACATTTTATGAAAAAAATTCAGAAGATTTGGAAGTGTTCCCTGATTCCTTAGCTGGAACAGAAGCTCTGTGGCTCCCGGATCATGAAATTCTTTTGGTAATTTATATTGTATTTTCTTTCAAATATTCTGCCTTGGTCTGTCTCTCAAGTTAACTTTTGTTTGGTATGAGTTATTGTAGCCTTATGTTAGGAGTACTCTTTGCATACAAAACTATCTATCTCATGATGATTTATGTACTCAGTTCAGTTGATGTTGATACAAGGACAACAGTCAGTCAGTCTCGTGAGCAGCATTGAATTTCCTTATCATCAGTATTCTTCATAAGATTAGATTATTTGGTCTTTTGCCTGCTTTCAAGTTTCAAGTTTTTTCCCGTTAACTGTTTTGGTACATATGCGATTAGCTACACAGCTACATACACCTGACACAGATCTGACGTATAGTATGTAATTGAATTTGCAAGTTTATTAAGAATGTACATTGTAGTAAGGATTTTTTGTGTAGCTAGGGATTAACACACAGAAATGTGTAGCACAAAAAGAGGTTCGATCTGGAATAAATATTTCTTATCGTTTAGATTGTTTATAAAAGGACTAAGGATAAAGTTGAGTGTGCAATGGTCAAGGTGTATGCAGAAAAATAAGAAAAAGGACATAGTTTGCAAAGCCAAGAACAATTTTCTGGTAATCCTCTTCAATTTTGCATTAACAGTATAAAAGTTCAAGACGAAAAAACGACGATTGAGCTTTGATGTGAAATGGAACTAACAATATTCGAAAACATGAATTTTAATCATTATTGTGGGGTTTTTGGCGCTCCGTGGAATCTCGTGGATACGTTCCATTATTATTACGAGGTCATTAAACGCTCAACACATTTTGTTTCTGCAATTGTACAGTTGTTAATTTGTCCCAAACTCCCCACATACCCATATGTCGCCTTAATGTGATTGTCAGCTTAGTGAGGTTTTTCTAATATTCACTCAAGTATGAAAACTACTTAAATCTCAGACAAAGTACTTAATTTTTACAGGACAACATTGTAGAAAATAAGCACCACACGCTTTCAAGGTGTACTCGAACCGGGCTCTCAGATGTTGACCTCAAACCGAATGCTTTCGTTAGAGACCAACTAAATGCCATTGTCAACTATCCCCCCACGAAACAGTTGTCTTCTGAAGAACAAGATCTTATATGGAAGTTTCGGTATTACCTCAGTTCAAATAAGAAGGTTGGTTCATGTACTTGTTGCATACATGTATTGTTAATCCGATTAACTTATTAAACGACAAAATAATTACGCAGGCATTAGCCAAGTTCTTAAAGTGTGTAAAATGGGAGATAACCGGAGAAGAACGACAAGCACTGGATTTATTGGAACGATGGACTCCAATGGACGTGCAGGATGCTCTAGAACTATTAGGTCCAACCTTTACTCATCCTTCTGTCAGGGCCTATGCCGTGGCTCGTTTGAAACAGGCATTGGATGAGGTAATACAATTGAATATAATTAATTACATATGTTATGCTTTCTTTTTGATGCCATGTTATTATGATATACATTAACTTCATAGGACCTGCTCCTTTACCTACTGCAACTTGTTCAGGCCCTGAAGTATGAAAATTTTGACTCGTCATTACAAGGAATCGATATATCGGACAATAAGGATTACACAGATCTACAAATCACTCCGTTGGACGATATGAAATGCTCAGTCCAATCAACGGCTTCTAAAGAAAAAGAGTTTTCCGATCTTTCCACATCTTCTGTTCCTTGTGGACGGAACTCTCCAGATACTGGAAATCTTTCAGATGTAGCATCTAAAGGACACAGGTTTAACATATTATTAGGACCTTTTTCTTCGCTGGGCAGAACTATTCCATTTATTTCACTATTAATGTTCATTTTAACAAATAATTCACAGCTCGTCTGATGCATCATTGTCATCAAATCTGAGCGCAATTGTTGGGGCCATGTCTTCTGATATTGGTTCAATATCGATTAGTAGGAAAAGCGAAACAGAACTCAGTATAGAAAAACCTGATCTCGCAACCTTTTTAATTCATCGAGCATGTGAAAATATTACATTGGCCAATTATTTTTACTGGTAATTCTTCAAACGCAACCATCCATTAATTTTGTTGTGAGTTAGCTGAAACTACACGTTTAATGTATTTAATTCAGGTATCTGAGGGTAGAGTGTGAGGACCACGATGTTGGAGTAAAACAAGATCCTCGAGTGAGAGAGATGTATTTAAATGTGATTGGAAGATTTCTATTGGTAATTCCAAATGGATATAAGATTGCACATTATTAGTATCGTTGCTCTATGTTGGTAATCTAAAATTTATTGTCCTGTGTATTAATTTATTTGATGCAGATTATGAAAACTGGAAAATCTGAATGGCAAGAACGACGTGCTGTTATATCGAGACAACAAAAATTTATTGCGAAACTTGTTGAAGTTGTTAAAACCGTAGCAAAAGAGAGTGCAAATCGTCAAAAGAAAATGGAAAAACTTCAAATGCTTCTTCAAGATGGAAATGCTTTTAAGACTAATTTCGCTAAATTCGATGCCCTCCCTTTCCCTTTAGATCCAGAAATCCACATTACTGGAATCGTTTCTAAAGAGTAATACAACTAGAGGACACAATACTTTATTTAAACCAATAATTATATAATTAATTTGTTGATTAATTTAGAGCAATCCTGTTCAAATCAAGCCAAATGCCGTGCCGACTCACGTTTTGCACGGAATCTGGTGAACCTTATATTGCGATTTTTAAACATGGGGACGACTTACGACAAGATCAGTTAATTTTACAAATCATTACCCTGATGGACAAGCTTTTGCGAAAAGAAAATCTAGATTTGAAGATAACCCCGTATAGAGTACTTGCCACAAGTACAACTCATGGTAATGTCCCAGATTTGCTCGATTACGCATATATATAGACACATTAGTCAATGCTTATGGTTCTAGGATTGTCTTAAAGGATTTTTATTATGGATAGGTTTTGTGCAGTTTATACAATCCACGACCGTTGCTGATGTCCTTTCTGAACATGGTACTATTCACAGTTTTTTTAAAAAGAACCATCCATCGGATAGTGACGTGTATGGAATTTCTTCCACCGTGATGGACACCTATGTCAAGAGTTGTGGTAAGCCAATTAATTATTACTTTTTTCAACTGCGTTGATCAATTCTAATTCTAATTCGTCATATTTATATTGTGTAGCTGGATATTGTGTCATCACATATTTGCTTGGAGTTGGTGACAGACATTTAGATAACCTTCTTCTTACTCGTGAGGGAAACTTGTTCCATATTGATTTTGGTTACATTTTGGGGCGAGACCCAAAACCAATGCCTCCGCCTATGAGACTCAGTAAAGAGATGGTTGAAGCAATGGGAGGCGTTAATTCCGAATATTATCAAGAGTTTAGAAAACTGTGCTATACTGCATTTCTCCATTTAAGAAGGTAATGCACCAGATAATGTAATATTGTTGAACTGGAATACATAATTAATTATTGCGCTGTATGATATTAATTACCAATTACAGGCATGCCAACCTGATTCTTAATTTGTTTTCCCTGATGGTTGGTGCTAGTGTTCCTGATATTGCACTAGAGCCTGATAAAACTGTCAAAAAAGTGTTGGACAAATTTCGCTTAGAGTTGAATGATGAAGCCGCTGTAAAGCATATGCAGGAATTGATAGACATCTCAGGTGAAGTGACAATTCACTCGTCTAGTGATTGTGTAAAACCTATGATTGTTTCAAGTTATTTAAAAATTTTAAGCACTTTATCTCACGAGTTTGAGTTGCAAAATATGTATTTATGTAAATATTGACGTGAAACAATTTGTATTAATCTGTTTTGGGCCTATAATTAATTTTTTAATCACATTTCAGTGACCGCCGTAATGCCCGCCTTACTGGAACGAATGCACACTTTTACTCAGATGCTTCGTAAATAATTTTTCACCGAAACTAGCGTCAAGAGATACGTGTACTGAAGTAACAATCTTTTTATTGAGAATAATAGGATAAGCATATTTGTATCACCTTATCATGAAAATTAAACCAATTTTGTCACTGTAAATATTTTAAATAAATTATTTTGCATACATGGTCATGCGAACAGAACAACTTCTGCATATAGAAGTCCCTTAAAACAAACTTAAATAAATTAAGAGTGACCATGAAATATTTGTTCCAAATGAAGGTAAGCGAGAATCAGAGTTGTTTTAAATACCACAAAAGTATTTAAGTACTTCATTTCTAATTACTTGAATATTTGAGCGGTATTTAAGTGTTAAATACTTAAATAACTGAATTTGTTTTAAATATTTAAATACTCAAATGCTCGAATTTCGACATGGTATTTAAATACTCAATTACCTAAATACCTGAATCTATCTTAAGTATTTAAGTACCAGTTATTTAAATACTCTTTAAATAGTATTTAAATAGGGGTAGCATCTAAATTACCAACTCTTAATAGTTTCGATCTACATTCTCAAGTAGAATCGCCAATAAACAAAATGAGTTAGCATTAAAATAAATCAGTTGCTTAAAAGATTAGCTTTAAGGCTTGTTCAACTCCTAGAAATGTTCGGAAATGTTTGTGAAAATTAGAGTGAGACTAAATATGTGGAATTAATAACTTGTGTTACAAGCTGAAAATAAGTAACCAATGTGAATAAGCTTAAAAAAGCTAAAATACAAATTATTTCTTTAAATTTTCAATTTAACTAAAGTTTTCACTCATATTTGATTAATTTTCAAAACACTAGTTGTAATAAACTGCTTGATTTTGTCCCTGTAAAATAAACTATACCTCAGAACACGAAATGAATGCTATGAATTCGGTAATTAACAACGTCCAAATTCCGACTTTTGCATCATGTAAAACAAATTAAATATTTAAATAATTAATTTTTAAATACCTGGAATATTTAAAGTATTTAAATATTAATTAGTTAAATACATTTTATACGCTCATGTATTTAAATTATAAATACTAAACACTTGAAATTCAGTATTTAGATTTTAAATAATAAATAATAAATACCCAAACCCAGTATTTAAATACAACAACTCTGGCGAGAATGCAGTTCCAAAGATCATTAAAAATGTCTTTTATTCAATAAAAGTGAAGTATTGGAATTATGAAAAAAATTATTATAAAGCGCACAAGAAATACAAGAGAAATGAGTTTTTAAAAAACAATTTTATATGTGAAAGAAAATATAAGTATAATCAAGTCGCTTGAAAGAATATGCTTAGAATTTGTTTCCTCTGCCATAAATGACGCGACTACGACTGGGTGGAGTGATGCTGATGTCAAGGTAATCCCCAATTGTAAACCTGATTTGTGTCAGAGTTTTATTATCATCTGGGTTTTTTTGTCCAGAAACTATCGTTGACACGGGACGGGAGCGATACCCACGATATTTATCCGGATACACCAAGGAAAAGTCAAATACTGTCCCATGACGCCGCTTTAGATTAAAATTATATATATAACTAGTAGTAATAACTTCTTCTTCAGCGGTATCAGAATAATATATAAGATTCTATAAACAGTAGTATTACTTACAGCATCGGGATTCACCTCCTTGACCAACCCAGCTTAAATTATTTTTAAAAAACATTCATTTTTGACTTCAATTTTGAAATGAACATCTGTTTATACTACTACTCTCTAGTACCTATTTCCTTTAGCGTGGCGTCCAACCTAATTAAAATGAAGACACATGATTATCAATAAAAATAGAATTTTTAAATGAAATGGACGGTTGCAAAATGCAAACAAACCATGTATATATCTGGAGTTCATTTGCAGGCGTATTTCCATTCGTGTAATCCATGGGCTAAAAAATGAATGCTTTAAAATTGGTAGGTATTCCATAAGTCCAACATTCTAGGAAAGTTATTTACCGAATTATGTCTACCAGTACTACAAAAAACTCGCAACAACAATGGGCAAGTCTGTACAGAAAAGTGATCCCAATCAATTTGTAATAATGACAATTTATGACAATATGCTATATAAAAATATAAACTATGTTGCACGTTATTACCTTTTCTCTATCAATCTTATCCAAATCAGGTTTGCTAATGTCCTCTACAACGACTGACCCCAACATGGCCATATTTTCAATTTTCACCAAAAATTGGGTACCGGATAATAAAATAAAAACGCTGGAAAAATTGCAATGTTATGCCGACTAAAATTCCCGGGACCGAGTGGCGTTGACTGAGGGTGAACTCAGAAAACTGGAGGAATCAAACCTGTGAAACGCATGCGTTTTCAAATTGAAAATTGTAAGAACCGGAAGAAACTTGAATGTTGCATGATAAGATGAAAATAAGATGAAGTATGAACTGAGGTATGTTTGACCAAAGCAAATACTTTATTGTTTTATATACAGAAAGCATAAAATATGTTATTTTCAACAACTTCCAACTTGGAAGTCCCAATTCTCCCATCATTCACTATGTCTGTATTTATTTATTTGCATAATATATAATTTTGTTCAATTTTGTTTTTTTTACTGCTATTTCCTCTGCATAGAAGACTACTTCTAGTGGTTAGTTTTTTGATAATTAGCGCATAATCTGGTGTGAAAGGGGAAGTGCCTTTTACATTAATGGGTTTTAATGTTCGAGCATTTTTAATTGTATCAATATGCAATGCAATTCATTTTAAAATTTAAGACTGGTGCGGATACCTTGTTGATCAACTACGTACAACTTAATAACTTTTAAATGACTTTACAGTAAGAAATTGTGCACCAAAAATGAAGACGCAAATGCTCGCTTATGCAATACATTATGTAATAGTCAGAACTCTAGCATATTTTAGGAAATTTAGACATCTAGGGAGCAGAACTTTTGATTGTTCTAGTTTTATAAATTATTCAGAATAAACTAAACTGGTACACTTGTATATAAGTTGACCTTCCAAAGCTGAAATCATAAATACAAACTGCAAATGAGATCGTGTAATAAATACTTAAATATGATTTGCTCAATATACGTAATATGAAGGTGGAATTGCTCGCCGGTTTAAATATGTACATTAGGATAATAGCATAGTATTTTTTTGTTTGTATAATTCAGCTCATCTAAAAAAACTAATCCCAAAGTCCTTCAAGTGCCCAGTTAGTTTGGTGAAGAAAAGCTGCGTCATCGAAAAGTGAAGCCCCCTTTACATGTGTTCCTGCAAAAAAACAAATTTCAGTAAATGCCACAGTGTTTCATTAATGTTTAATAATACATAAAGAAGGACCCTTACACGGCTGCAGGCGGTGCCAATCCGCAATTTGACGCCTTTTTGAACAAATATATTATAATTTAGAACAAATATTTCATGTGTCTTTAAGGCGGAATAGCATGCTGGCTGATGCGGGGTTTTTTGTTTGAATTGTTGTGTCTCAACTTTCCCTTCCTCCATGTTTTCAAATGGCGATTTTGAAAAATGTTCACCGCTTTTCGTTTTTAATAATATGAAGATATTAATGCACCTAAAAATCGGTAATTTTAAGGCTTACATAGTTAGGAGATAAAAATTTTGATTTTTTTCTTCAACAAGAAGATAAATATAAAATAGATGAAAAATAATCAATAAAATTTAAATATTTCCTCATTGAAGAAAAAAATCAAAATTTTTATCTCCTAACTATGTAAGCCTTAAAATTACCGATTTTTAGGTGCATTAATATCTTCATATTGTTAACAACGAAAGGCATTTTTCTGAACATTTTTTCATACATGTGAACATTTTTCAAAATCGCCATTTGAATACATGGAGGAAGGGAAAGTTGAGACACAACAATTCAAACAAAAAACACGTGATACAATGCCACGTTAATATAACATTTTTATTACCTTGGGCAATTGAGAACTTCGCTCCAGTGATGGGTAGACGTAGGAGTCGACGCTCCGCTTCCAAGTTCCAGTCTGCCAATTACCTGAGGAAAAGAAAGTTTCTTTTACTCTTAACAAGCATCGTACTTTAATGTCAAATGTTGTTTTTACTTATTCGAAACTGACAAAAGAAAGAAGCATCAAATGTTTAAAGTTTCAAAAATTCCAGCATGATACTGATATAATATTGTTTGTATACGCACATTATGTGCATTGGAAACTATAAAAAATTCACCTAGTATAGTCATATTACGTGAAAAGTTACGCAGTAGTACAGCATACAGTAATATATAGGTGGTCAACTTGACTGAAGTTGAACTTGCTGAACGAACAACACAATTAGATTTAATGGTGCATTATACAACCGCAATTTTCTAGAAAAAAGTGGAAGGCACAATTGTTGTAACTGGTTTTGGATTATGGTTCATCCCCTGAGTTGGGAAAGAAAACAGGGCGTTTTGCAATTCACTTGTACTTATGTATGTACATAGCAGACACTATTTGCTTGGAGCAAAACCGTGACGGAAAGTTTTGTAACTTTCTCTTGTCATTTTTGGGTCTTATGAGCAAACAGGATAAGTGCACTGCGTAGTAATCTCAAAAAATTAAAGCAATTTATTATGCGTACTTTTCATATTTTCCTACTTTTCATATTTTACTTGCTGACATAATTAGTGAAAAAAAAATATGCGGCAAACTTAAATTTTTGTTCGGATTTTACATGAAAAACGATGGTTTTAAATAACCAACCAGTCTTATCGACGAATAAGTATAACACATGTTTCACACTTTCATTATCGGTATAACCCAAGTTGGTGCTTATTGCATGCGACCGTTAAATTACCGAATTAATGCTTTCTATAAGTAAGTGCTTGCGGGTTATCTAGTTGACTGTCTTCTTGCAATGGAATGAACGTGTAGGCGTAATATAATGTTATTAGTAATCATAGCATACCCATTATTTAGTTGGGAAAGATTTAAGAAAAGTTTATTTTTCCCTATGCTGTATGTCGGGCGAGTCATTTACTTGAGAGGACTTGAATTGTATTTCGACAAAGTGTAAATGTGTATAAATTGCTTTGGTGTAATGAGGCCCTAAAGTTGGGGAAAGTTGTTAACTTTCTTTACAAGAAATACAATAAAATGGTAAACGTTTTCGTATTTAGCACAGTTAAACCCAAACCATGTACAAAGACGTACAAATGAATTGCATGCACTGCGCGTCTGCAATTTTCACCATTGAGGTGGAGAAAGGAGCTGTGTACGTTGCAACGAGATTAAATTGTGTTCGTCAGAGCCACCACACAAGAGAAGTTTACCAAGTTTGGCAAGTCTTGCTGCCAGGAGCAATTCAAGGCATTTTGCGGTTTTAAGAGTTTCAAGAGAGTGTTCACAAACCTCATTCTTGGTAACTCGATCCCAATCGAGCACTGAAACTAGGAGAGAGACTTTGTCCAAATTAGTGCTTTGTGTGGCTGCAGGTGGCAAGTCAAACACGAATGACTCGTTGAATACCTGCAATGATACATAAGTTAGTGCAGAGCCTTCATCATTTCCTCGTTTTCGAGGAACACTGATGGGCGAAAATTTGTTTGATTTTAAATTATGTGTTAACTTAAGGAAATGAGAATTTAAATTGTAATATGCGTTGTGTATAAAACCAACCGGATTCAGCGTCCGTTTCTTAACATGAGTCTTCTTTTTCATCAACCTCTGTCCATCGTAGAGTAGGTACAACTTTGCCTGTTTCAAAATTTCAATATTTTTAATTGTTCCATAATATCTTGCATACCGTTAATATTTCGCATATGTATGCTCTCGTTTATGTGATACTACAGAATTTTACGCATTTAGAGTTAAACTTACGTAGGGATCTGCCAGCCCTGACACGTCCATTTTGGGAAGATTTCGTGCCTTGATTAATCAGATGTGAAATGATAGTTTTCGCTGTATATTACGTAAGAATATCAACAAAACTAACCTTCAAAACCACCACTGTCAGTCGATTTGCTGTTGGCTGGTAACACAGTGAAAGCAGAACTTCTCCACGGCCCTGGGTCTGCATCTGTAAGGAGGAGAAAGAAACATGTACCAAGAGTTGAACAAAGGCACGAGATTACAGAAACAGAGGAAGCAAGTGCAGCCAAATATCTGAACAGATACAAGCAGCGTGTCGTGGATTGCAACATCACATCATCATGTCACGACAACTCGGGCCACATGTACATATACTTAAATGGGCGTTATGCAAATCCCCCAGAGAGACCAATTTGCTTTTGTTTTCCTAAACTCAACGTGACTTTCTTTCAAAATTAATGTTCAACGTGTACTCTCTGAGCCTTGCGGGGCAGAGAATGCATCATAGCCAGCAGTCGCCTCCCCACAATGCGCTCGTTCCTGGGATAAACAAAGAGGAGACGGAGAAAGTTCATGAACGTTTGGCCGTCACATACGTCCCGCATTATTCATCACCACATACATATTCCTGGTTCCGTGGACATGGGAAATCATGGCTCCAGATGAATTAAGTATTTTATGTGCTAATCTCTTTTATAAGTGGATTAACCACTTCACCCCTATAACGACTATGTGGCGTATTTGACCTTTACGCCGAGTACGACCATGTGGCGTAAGTTCCCTTGGCACCGGAATACGACTATGTGGCGTATTTTCCGTTCACACCGGCCTACGACTATGTGTCGTGTCCGGAAAAAATTAGGTCATTGCCTCTCCAAGCAAAGTAAGGCAAGAGTTATGAGTCAACAACCCGCCCTTTAGGCGGGAAGATAAATTGTCTCTTAGGAAATAATATTAGAAATGGATGCAAAATAAATTTATAGCCAAGTGGCTATATCTAGCCAACACGCCGAGTTGTGAAAACTGTTTTTTGCAAGGAAATTTCGACACCGATTTATTTCAACAACGGTTTACGATAAGATTAGAGAAATTGTTTTGCTCGCATGTAGCACAAACGGGCGTTTTGGGCGAGAAAACTAAAAGTTTGATGAATTGCATCATTGCATGGATTTAATTATATACCACAAATAATCTTGCCGGTAGGGTAAACTACGTCAAAATTAATGATTACGTATCGGGTGCCGCTGAAATACCTTTTGGGCGGAAAAATTAAAAATTGAGAGATTGCCAGGAATTAGTAGAATTTAATTTTCCCGCTTAAAATTGATTTCTATTCACCAGATGCGCCATAGTCTATGTTCGAGCAATTTCCTCTCACGGGATAATTATTCATTGTCATTGCTGTCTATTTAAAGTCATTGTAAGGATTTTTGGTTTTCCCGCCCAAAATCGGCTCCTAAGGCACTTTATGCGCTATAATCAATATTTGCGAGTTTACGTACTATTATGCAAGTATTACTCCATGCTTGTCTAACTTTTCATGCAATTACAATCATTTTTAAAATTCGGCGTGTTGGCTATTTTCGGCTATAAACATTGGTGGTTCGCCACAACTCAAAAATGCAAATTACAACTCAAAATACCTTCTTGAAAGGTTATTCACATCAATTTTCAGAAAAAAGTGTCCAGAATAATTCCGGTGGGAACACCATTTTTTAATTCATGGCCCAGGAATTAACGTCATGCAGTAGATAAAAATTTCGGGGTCAAGGGAGGTAAAAATTCGCGGTTACTAGGGGTGAAAGGTATGAAAAAACTCGTCTCCTAGGGTTGAAGTGGTTAAGTTGTCGAGTTATTCCCACTCTGATAAATCGCACTTGACACCTTCAACTTCAATTTCAAACAATCATACCGTGCGTACTCCGACTTTGCATGGTTTTATAGGAAATGAGTAAGTATGTCACGTCATGGGTAGAAAAACAAAAGTTCCAGTGACAACCAGTTTCAATTAATCTTTGACTCTTGTCGACAGTTTCCATTCACAGTTGCTATTTAATTCTGACTCCTGACACACAACAAATTAGCATTCTCCGAAACCAAACTTTGCACTCCAAACGTTATTATTGAGGTCTCAAGGGGTTTTGCTTTCACTGAGTTTTCCACACACTAACCAACTATCTGTTAGGGACTGGACAATGTGATGTGATCACTCACTCACACAAACTTCTCACATTTATGAGATACAAAGTACTATAGGATTGATATTGATCTGGCTAATGTTTAGTCATGTTAACTCCAAAGAAACTATGGGGCAGTACCTTGTAGTTCCTGGGTTGAATGTCAACAGCTACTTCAATTGCCGAGTTTTCAGTATTGGAAACGTCTGTTCCTTCCATGGGATAAAACACTTCGCCAATTACATCATCACGGGAGTACCGGTCAAAGCTGAGAACTACAAAGTGTAGTGTCATTTCCTGGAAATATTGAAAAACAAATTTCTTTAATTTACAATTTGTAAAGTAAAATTAACATTTCGTTTTTTCCAATACAGAGTTCAGTTCGTAGTTCGCATAAAACATTTAATTCGTAAATAATAATCTTTGTAATCATTGGATGCCACTGCTTGAGTTATTTGCTAGTTAAGTATTCCGATTTTTACTGCGTTTATTCAATATGATTTCGAGTTTACTGCAAGACAAAAGGTATCCACGCAGATAATTAAATTTCGGATGCACACAATAATAAACTATATATTGTGCTGAATTCGTAAGGTATATATTTTTCAAGTCTGTTAGAGTATCTCTCGAAAAATCAGGTTAGTTCATGGAAGGCCATTGAACGTCACTATGCCGTAAGTAAGCAGTTTATTACGCTCCAATGCATGCAATCCTTCACACTTTCTTCTTCCAGAATTGAAATGCTGCCACAGCAGCCTTGTACATAATATACTTTCCCTCAGCCACACCTTCCATCTGCACAGTCTGCGTGGCTCAATATCCTGTCCTGAAACCATAGTATATAATATAAAGTGCTTGAAACAGAATAAGTGGGAGCTGAATGCTTTGGCGAGAAAGACTTTCCAATTCGCTGAGCAAATGAGGCACAAATGCTCCTTTTCTGGAGATGCTTCCAATTTACATAAATCGTATCTCAAGAAGCAACTTGTAATGATGAAATACAAAACTCGTGAATAATTTGCAGAAACAACTTCAAAATTCAGCCAGTATATAGTTAGTTGGGTGCCAGAGAAAGCTTCATTACAAGTTTGCGTAGTCAACAGCCCTTAACGATTTTTCTATACATATTACAGACTCATTTAGACCTAATTAGTTCAAAGTCCTTGTCAAGCATCGTCAATCGTATTTATTTTCCACATTTTCAATGATTATTTGGGTTATTATAAAATAACCCCCCTTATTATAAAATCTGTGTCTACATCCTTGTCTCCCAATGGAAATGTAATAAATTGTTATGTAAATTGTATATATATTTTCTATAAATTTATTCTCCTGATAAATCGGTCCAGAATTGTCCCGAACGCTTGAGTATAATAAATATTCCAAAAATGACTTCCATGCACACTATTCAAATTTCAACCAATAAATTGTATAAAATATTTGCATCAACACTTTCGCAATTGAGAGCTGTAGGAATGTTAGACACGTCTGTATCGCGCAAAGAGAGCAGAAAAAGACGTGGTAATGGTGAAAGTAAGACAGATGAATCTCACCGTGAGCTGATTGGGTTGTACGCCGTAGAAAGTAAAATCCTCATCGTAGATCGGCTGCCGGGTGTGTCGCAAAACTCGAGTCTTTACGCGCTGTTGCTTCTGCAAAAAAAATAAGAAAAACACTTTTACAATGCACCAGCGCATCAAAGAGACTGACGACCTGACAGGTATTCTCCATTACATTCATGATCAGAGAAAATTTGTGACAATTGTGCTTCCCATTTATTTTTTATTTAGAGAACAGATTAATTAAGCAAATTCATTCATAATATAATTATCACATAAAATAGTGTTTCCCCCTAAAAAAAATCGAATTATCATCCTTTCGTACACGAAGTAGGTATATAGCTGAATAGACTACACATTGGTTTAGTGTCATATAATTATTCGTATATACATATATTCGTATATATATTTAACGAGTAGCACAACGCGACTTATTTTTACGACGGTTATTTTCTTACCTCGGGTAACAATTGCAATTTCACGTAAGGATCCAGCGTGTCCTGGTCTTTCTCCGGAGAAAGCGGAGAAAGTCCTTCACATTTCACAACTGTCACCACCAGTGTCCCTTTTTTATCCATGTATCTGCAAAACAAGAAAACCAATATAGACAGAAGCCGTATCACATTATGTGCTTCCATTTTTCCGACTCTACTTTTCTCTTGCTTTCTCTTAGCCATAGTGAGAATGCAACACAAGGGCTAACAGGAATTATCTAGATTTGTCTCGGAAGGCTAAAACGCTGCTGGATAAATACATAAGCTCGCAGACCAGCGTCCACAATTTCCATGCACAAGTCTCTGGAGGCGACGTATCGTATCACGATTCGTGTGGTATGGCTTGGCAGACATGATTTTATCTTTCACTAAACTACTGACAAGCTCTTTTTGGGGAAACTCCTCTGTAATGCTTATACAGAGCCCATTCTCACTTGGAGTACATTACTGCTGCGAAGATTACCTCCTTGCCTGTGTATAGTTATCATTAAGCGTAATGTGACAATTTGCTTATCACTTCTCAGGAATTTTCCACTTTGTTGCACGCCCTGCTTGGGAGGAGATATTTGAGAAACAAACTCCTCCGAACTCCACCAACTTTGTTGGCTCTTCTACGGTTATCTATATGCCACAGGCAGAATAGTTTACTTATTCTTGCAATGCCACACGGCAATCCTAAAATGTAACACAATGCAAATGTTTAAATCGCTTAGTATGCTTCTCCGCGGTGAACAAGATTTATTGGAGAATGGAGAAAGAAGCAAATTTCCTTAAATCGGACTGACACGAAGACGGAGAGCATCATGACAGTAGACAGGGAAAATATATCACTGTCACTTTGTATGCAAACAGACAATACAATAATGCTCTTCCACAGGTATGCATTTCTAGTTGAAAACAAAATGGCAGACATTCCTACAATTTGTTTTTACATTATTTTTACACGGCATGACCTAAAACCTTATATTATTTAACTCTATGCCTAAAACGTACACCAAAATCTAGAAACTCATATAACTTATGTACATATGTCCGTATATGGATAAGTATAGGCAAAATCTAGATTAAAATACCTACATACTTATACAGAGATGCATCGTAGAATAACATGACAAGTTTATTGGATCATAACCAATCGTAGTTGCTCTTAAGCATACAGCAAATATATTTAATACATTAGTTTAACAAACCTAAATATATGCCAAGCCACCCGACAAAAGTGAAAGCCCAAATATGTGTGTAGAACTTCTTGCCAGGTTGCGCAGAGCATATCTTATTTATACATTCACTATTGGAGTATGTAAACCCCTCTTTGAAGAATGAATGAAGGAATGGAATCGGATCACAGATTTGAATCACAGATTTGGACATTTATTTAAATTAATTGGATGTTCTGTCCTCCATAACTTCGTTTCGCGGATCAGGGAAAGCAGTTTGGTCAGATTTATCAGACTAAGAGTTACAACTGATTTTCGAAACCGGAACCACTACACAGCCTTTGCTTCTATTAAATTTAACATGCTTTCGGAGTGCAATAGGGAAATCGAGTGGTTTTATGGAGTCGTCAGGAAATAAATACGTTACTTGGCATCTGAAATGAAACACATTTATTTAATCCTAGGGGTGCACATTATTGGCAGCCATTGGTCAATTTCACATACGTAACAGCCCCAAATTTCTAATGCAACTGATACTTTTTACAAGTGTAGTAAATCACCACTATTCAATTTAATCCTGATCGGGTTCTACCTTCAAATTTATAACTATTTCGAAAATTTATCATTTGATTATTGATGACTATAAGTAAAATCCAATGTTACGGCTATTCAATGCAAAGTTTTAAGCTTTTTTGTTGACTCAACTTCTAACAAATCATTGAATATGCCAAACTTTCTGAATCTGAGAATCTCAACTTGTAGATAAGTTTACCCAGAAGTTCCCTCATGCTCATGAACACTAAATAAATAAGCATAAATTATCCGTCCAGTTCAGTTTGTGGAATTTATTTCTTGTGGGATATATATATATATGCATATATGCGTTGCAAAAATCAGTGCTTAGAATGCATGCATTCTGCATTAATGCAAAAGTGAAAATCCAGTATTTCCCAATAACAAGTTACAACTTGAATTGCATCCGAACCAATTTATAATCTCGCTCATTTTGAAAAGTGACTTGGTTTCTTAGTCGTAAATTTCAATATGCAGTACTCAATTTACTAACCGGATTTTGAAGTGAAGTATTCCAAGATGGTTTTGTCCTCCACCGGTTTTCTCGCTGCTTGACGGTCCAGCCATGGATTCCAGCGATGTGATATCCCGACTTCCCATTACTCCCGATGGTGGCGAAATCCCAGTTTCTGTTGTTGCCGTTAAAGACTGCATTAAGTCAACGGGATTGGCATCAGCATCGGACTCAGGAATGAAATCAGTCGTATAGTTGGAGTTTACATTCTTCGGACCAAGGGAAATAGTTTCATGCGAACCCAAATTAGCCGGGGTTGATGTCGATGGTGAAATCTGAGGTGAGGTGCGAGGAGACCTCGAATTTTCCCTTTTCACCAAGTGATTCGAAGATTTCATATTCGTAGCACTGCTGTGAGTGCATTTTGTGCTTCCATGCACCTCGCAATATGTCGCCGTGTTGCAAATGGGATTCGTGTGAATGGCGATAGCGTTCCGATTGATTTTCCGGCATCCACCTCCTCCCCCAATTTCTTCGGTGGGAGGAGTGATTGGAGATCCGCTCTTGGAGGAGGATGCAGCATAGTGAAGGGGTGGGCTGGGGCTCTTTTTCATCACCAAGTGCGGCGTTCTGGCTCCACATGTCGTGACGTCCGATTTTCGGCGGATGATTATTTGATTTGATTTCAGTGGAATTTCCTCAGCGATCGGAGACCGATTGGTGAGATAGACTCCACTCTTTCGGTACACAACGGTCGATTTTCGGCGGAAGAAGAATGACGTGACTGCAAGAATCCCGACCAAGAAGAGACCGGCTCCCAAGCAAACCACAACTGAAAAAAGACTCTAGTCAGTTATCTACTCATTATCAAACACAATCTGAATAAAGTTTAACTAATGAATTTAGTTAAACCCTTAAATGTTTTATGTGCTGTTATTTTAGATTAGAAATATCTTACCTATCGCAGGGGTTGTCGCTGTTGAAAAAAAATAGTTTAGAGTTATTTATGTTATTTAAAGTCATTTATGTACATACATTTAATGTGTGCTAAAAATAAATGGTGTATATACACGAATGTATGTAGGTTACTCGTATTGCTCGATTATTTGGTGGACACATACATTAATACATACGACAGTCTACATTTAACCTTTGTACTGCAATATTTTGGGGTCTAAAGTTTATACTAAATTTATAATATTTGTACACCTCGTTTCGTTCTATTGTTGTGAGCTTTATAATCCAAAGTTATACAGCATAATTTCATGCTGTTGAAATGATGATTCGTTTGCCTTCAAGTACCACCCACTCGTCTAGTCTCCTTCAGCTACTGTTATGAAAACCACTTTTCTTTGATTTCATGAAAGTTGCAAATGTATAAAGTTTGTTTTAATTTTCACGCATCTGTGAATAAGTAATGTAGTCATGTCGAAACAAATCTTGTCCTAAGGCAAGGTTTGCTTAATGTTGAAGAAAGCATAATATAAATTGCATTTCTTGTTTCGACACATCAAGGCGCTTTGATGTCAAACTGAATTACTCGTTGCTGGTAGCATTTTCAGGACGAAATAAGGTGCATACCAAAAAAGCATGGCTATCTAACCTCAATCAAGATAAAAGGAAAAACATCCACCAAAATTAAAAATAGTGGAGTCTCGTTTAATCAATGCACCCACGTTCAGCGTTTAACATATTATTTATATTGCAGATACAATTACTCACTAATATTATATGAAACCCTCTGAATTAGGCACTTGCAGGATTTTGGTTTCCAAATATATCTAATTTTATGTCTGTATTTATATACATATGTAATAGATGTATATAATTCCACAATGCAGCATACACCTCTGTTTTTATTTGCTTATAATCTCATCATGTTTAACTCTGAACTATCTATTCTTTCACTTGAATAAGTCCGCTAAATGAATTTTTGGAACATGAAGATCTTGATAGAGAAAGTGAAAGTGAAAGCAATCTCCTCTTTGATTTTGGAGCAGTATTTCAACTTTAGATTAGGACCACAGAAAGTAAATCAAAGCACGAGTCTATGTAGAATGAACAATATTCACAAACCCCATTAATTACGCAACTAGGTCGGATTTTCCCTGGATGAAATTCTTTAGAAAGTTCAAAAGATTGTAATAATCTATAATCTTTGAACTTTAATAAACTGAAGCTACCCTATAGTTAAAATCATGTTAGCTTCTACCAGTTGATTCGATTACTTCACAAATTATAGTTATTCCGCTGTTTTTTTATCGCCGATGAGATATTCCAATTTGAAGGAATTTATAAAGGAAAGTCAATTATCGCAATGCATTCATTCCTAACAAATTTAATTAATAAGTAAACGATATCATTGGTCCTAAAATTATATTCTCTCGTGTTGTGTAAAACGGAGTAACTAGCATTAGACTGACTAATCCATGTTAAAAAAAAAGTTTGAAAATGCATGTTATTGACTTTTGGACAAGACGAGAGTAAAAGTTGTTTCCCAGATCTGATTCAGGTGGAGCCTGTTCTCGTATCAGGTGGAATATCAGAGCAAATCCAGCCAGTAAAGGAGAAACTGGAACTGATGGATGGAAAACTCTTTCCAAACAAATATCAGACATGACAGGAGACTCACACTCTGAGCATTTCCATGAATCGTGGCTGGGATCATAAAATTCGCAAATTGTCAAATAAATCTTTGGTGAAAATTCTTTCCTAGTAGATACATACCTCATCCTCAGTCCAATGTTACGTGCATTGCAAGTAAGTCTTATATGCATGTACATGTACTAACTTAATGATAACAAGATTCGCGTCTTATATATTTACGAGTCTATCGCGCATCACACACACGATGCTCAAACTTTCAGTCTCAGGAGACGGTAGCCAAGAAGTAAGCAATTTCGTTTTTTACTCATAGAAAATAAGGAAGCAACAGACCTGTCGCTTCCTGAACTCACAGAAGTCACATTTCTCCAGCAACATTGCCAATTTCAAACAACATGCTTGATGAATTCTCGACATATTATCAGATTGCAGACAAATACCCTTTGTTTGTTTGTTTGAGTCTACATGTTGACATGTAAATACATATATATTTTTTAGTTAAAAATTATTTAGACGAATTTTAAAATCGCAAGTTCAGGACTTGAACAATATCCTGAGAAATTTTTAATGAAGTTATGCAAAAACTACTCACTATTTACTCACTATATTTCTCCCCATATAAGCAAATGGAATCAAATGTGTTTATATGACAGATATCACCATTAGTTGGCCTGTCTCAATTTCCCAGAAAATGTGAACTTCAGAGTTACAAATATTAAGGGTGTGCGTACTACGTACACATACACCTACCGTTCCCTCACCTTGTATTTGTGTCACAAGAGTCCATTAAGTTAACAAATAAGTGTCGTTAAATATTTATCTAAGAGAGTCGCCTTGCTCGAGAAATGCGGAAAAATTTCTCTCTCTATTTTCTGCCCTTTTCCATTATAATGTGATACTTTCACTTGGGGTGAAACGAACCTGCAGAAAGATGGCAATGGAAATACTTAACAGAATATTTTTCTCACTTGGAAAAAGACAGAAAACTATAAGGAATCCATTTTTGCTTCATATATGTAACACTTCATTTTCATAAAAGAAGCTCCAAAATTTTCATCTATGGACTTTCATCCTGCTGAGCTATAGGGTTCCAGCGGTGTCTGCTGGAAGAACGTGAAAGTATTAATTATGGAACGTTCGTACCATGGATCAAAGCTCATAATATAAATTTGATATAACGCATTTAATTCCCAAGAAATCCACATCCACTGCATACATACAAACTGAAGTCTAGATGTATTGGTAAGCCAGTGGTGGTCTAACCTTTGGTACGTACGAAATAGATAATGAGAACTCCACTCATGAATTGGAAATTCTGACTTCCTTTGCCAATGCGATATCACATGCAATAGGCCGTAATTTTAACATCAAACAACATCAATCATTGCGCACGGGTAGTTTATAATGAAAGACACGAATCACTCTTGTATAACCTTCCAACTTTGATGTACAAATTAAGGTAGGTATCAGGGCATTGAGGTTTTTTATCAAGAACTGAGCAGTGATGTGCTCAGAAAATATTACTCGCTAATACATAACTAATACATACGAAATAACGGATGTATGTATAACTATGCGAATACTCCTCAGCTCAGACAAACAGGTCATCAGTAAGGAGCAACACACACTTTATGCATAAAACATTTTTAATGAACCATTTTAACCCAAAACCTACGTATGTATAAACGGCATGTTGCTGGCATGTTGATTAACAAGAACTAAATGAAGTGTGAACTGGATTCGTTACTCGAAACACTTCATTAACATTAATTGAGCAAACGAAATGGTAAGTGCTCTTGAATAAGAAAGCTTCAACAGTATTTACTGATTAAATTTTTAATTTGCAGAATATATTTTGCTGATGTAAGCGTCAGCACTAATTTCCTCAAGGGATGCAGATGCAGCCATCTACAAATTGATTTTGTCGGTTGGCTGAACCTTTTTAAAATATCAGAATAAGGTTTATTTTCAACAGGAGCTACTTACTATTAGTTGGTCTAGTTTGAAAATGGTTTCCCAATTCGCAGTTTCCGAAGTGAGCACCATAAATGAAGTAATGAAGCAGACAGTGAGAAACTTGAGATTGGGTGATAAATTTGGTAATTCAGGAGATGGGATTGCGTTGAAAAATGAAAACTAGACAATTCCCACAAGATTATGTAACTCCTCCGTTTCCATTTCAAGCTTTCCCCTCCTGCACGAAAACAGTCATCGTGATAACGACACCAGGAAAAAGGCATCATCCACCAAGCGGTATGAATGAATGGCTGGTCTGTTTTGAGGTGACTGCTGATGCTGCTGCTACTCCTGGGCTACATCTCATTTTACGTGGTTCATCTTCCCAAGAGAGTTTTCCCCATTTTCCAACTTTCTCCCACTCTCAGTTCTACTTAGTTAAGCTGATCCTTTTTCTCTATTCCATTGACATCGAATGAGCTGAGAAAATCGGATTTCAGATTGTTTGCTAAAAGTCATTCCCTACTTTCCAACTACGTACTTTCTCTTCCACCCTGAAGCTACATATTTATATATATAATAAATAAAGTGTGTATATAAAATGTACAAAAACTTTGGTTGACTTCAAGCACACGAGGAGAAAAAAGTCAACAGCCTGAAGCAAAATTAAGTTAATATCTCATCCAAACCACCATCATACATCTGCTGCTGATGGCAAATTTATTTTTACAGTGCCCCCACCAGCTACACCACGTAGACAGCGAATGTAGCGAAAAGATTATTACAAGCATGGTTATTTGAAAATTACAAAATATAAATTGCACAAGAAAAGAATGTTGGATTCAATTTAGTTCATAGAATAAGAGGAAATAGCATTAAATGAAATTGCATTGTTCAACAGAATGCCAAGCATCAAAGGAATAGAAATGAATGGAGATTACGATGGTGGATGGGATGGAAATGGGAACATTTAAATAGGAAATGGAAAGCGGTTGATTTTTGATCATCGTCATCATTAAGAAAGACGACATTGTGCGTCTTCCACTCCCAACGGGACACTTTTGTGTTCCTTACTTCCTACTTCTGCTGAATTCGTCATTGCGCAAGGTAGTCAAATGATGAAGACAGGCAGGAAGTTCCAATCCAATTCCCTCCATTACGTCCCATCTCGCACGACTTTTTTATTTTATTTTCTGCGCCTTGCTTACTGTCTTTTACTGCTTTCTCCCTTCCTATTAGCTTCGTATTCTACTCCATCCAACCAAAAACGCTCTCATACCACTTGAAATTTGTTTGCAAATTTTATTCTTATGGAATTACGTCAACCAAGCATTCACATAAAGAATATATGTACGCACATAACACAAAGTTGTAAACGGAAAATAGTGAGAGGAAGCCAGTCAGTACCACCACTGA